TCTCTCTGAGGGGGTTACAGAAGTTGCCTTTCTCCACAGCTGATAAGAAGGCTCTGTACCAGAGCTGTGTTAAATACTTGCACTTTCATGAGCTGAAGGAGAGATGTGACTCCAAATGGAGAGCCCATCTCTCTGTCCCTGAGGGTCTGTGGCCTTCATGGAGGCTCTTGTACAAAAGCCCTTTGCCCAAACGGTCAGGAGACCTCCAGTGGAGGATCCTTCACTGTGCTGTACCCTCAAATGGGTTTGTGTCAAAATTTAACCGAGCTGTTCAACCACTGCGTTTTCTGTAATAACCCTGATACTGTTTTTCATGCATTTTCCGACTGTCAAAGACTGATTCCTCTGTTCGAGCTCCTGGACACAGCGCTCAGAGGGCTGATTCCTCTGTTGGAGCTCCTGGACAGGGCGCTCAGAGGGCTGGTTCCTCTGTTGGAGCTCCTGAACAGAGCACTCAGAGGGCTGATTCCTCTGTTTGAGCTCCTGGACAGGGCGCTCAGAGGGCTGGTTCCTCTGTTGGAGCTCCTGAACAGAGCACTCAGAGGGCTGATTCCTCTGTTCGAGCTCCTGGACAGGGCGCTCAGAGGGCTGATTCCTCTGTTCAAGCTCCTGGACAGGGCGCTCAGAGGGCTGATTCCTCTGTTTGAGCTCCTGGACAGGGCGCTCAGAGGGCTGGTTCCTCTGTTGGAGCTCCTGAACAGGGCGCTCAGAGGGCTGATTCCTCTGTTCGAGCTCCTGGACAGGGCGCTCAGAGGGCTGGTTCCTCTGTTCGAGCTCCTGGACAGGGCGCTCAGAGGGCTGGTTGCTCTGTTCGAGCTCCTGAACAGGGCGCTCAGAGGGCTGATTCCTCTGTTCGAGCTCCTGGACAGGGCGCTCAGAGGGCTGATTCCTCTGTTCGAGCTCCTGGACAGGGCGCTCAGAGGGCTGGTTGCTCTGTTCGAGCTCCTGAACAGGGCGCTCAGAGGGCTGATTCCTCTGTTCGAGCTCCTGGACAGGGCGCTCAGAGGGCTGATTCCTCTGTTCGAGCTCCTGGACAGGGCGCTCAGAGGGCTGATTCCTCTGTTCGAGCTCCTGGACAGGGCGCTCAGAGGGCTGGGGTCTCTGTTCACCCGGACTCTGTTTATCTTTGGCTGTAAATACTCTGAAGCTCAGTGTTCTAAATGTACCTTGGCTAATGTTTTCGTGGGACAGGCTGAGTTATCAGTGTGGAAGTCCTTCAGGTCGGTGTCTGAAGGGCAGGAGGTGGACGTTCTGAAACTGTTCCGAGCTCTAGTAGAGTCGCGCATTAGAGCTGAATTTGTCTTTTACCGAAGTACTCAGAACATTTCCTGTTGTGAGAAAAGTGGTGAGCTGGTGAAAGTGTTGTATCTGTCAGTGATCTGGGTGTGACATCATTTCATTGGTGAATCTTTGTGGATGGGTGGATTTTCTTTGGGGATCCTCATTATTATTAATATAACTATTAGGATGTAACATCCTTTAATTATTAATGCCTCAATAAAAGGAGTTAAAAGTCAACGTCTCTCTCTCTCTCTCTCTCTCTCTCTCTCTCTCTCTCTCTCTCTCTCTGTCTCTCTCTCTCTCTTTCTCTCTCAGCCACATTCCTTCATACAGTTTAAACAGATCAGTTTATATGAGAAACTCTGTTCAGAGTCTAATGAGGTTAAAACCTCTTAATGAAGTGATGCTGAAATAACTGAACAGGTCTCTTCAGTACATTTTACACTCTGAAAGGACTTTTAACTCTTAGGTTTTCTGTCCTTCATAATCCACTCAGATAATCTTTTTCTCATTATTATTATTATTATTATTATTAAAATTGAGTTTGTCTGTTTTAATTGTACTGAATTAAATTGTACTTTTGCTGAATTGTTCTGTATTCAATTGAATTTTTGAGACTGCGGCGCCCTCTGCTGGTCACTCTCTGTAATTACGCGCCTCCTGTTTATATAAAAATAAAATGCAGTTTTTAAATTTATTAATTTTCCGTGTTTTGTTTTATTTCTTCTGCTCATTTTCATCAGAGTTTAAACTCTTAAAGTCTTTAAAACTCTCCTCCAGTCTCTTCGCTCCACTTCTTTATTTGAGTAGTTCATGTTATGAGCGTTTCTGACCGGCGCAGCTGGTTTTGTGTCTGATCTGTGTCTGATTTGTGTCTGATTTTGTGTCAGATCAGTGAAAACAGGCAGTAAATCGATCTGTTGACTTCCAGCCGGATGCCACGTTCGTGTTCCTCGAGTTCTGACGTCACTGGCGCGCGACAGCAGGACTCGCGCGGTGCAGCGCGGCGGAGAGGCGCGTGAGTGAGGAGCAGACGGGAGTGCACGAGGAACAGGTAGTTACACTGAAACGCGCGCGCGGGCAGCACGGCTCGCGCGAGCTCGCTGCGCTGGAGGTGCTGTTTGTGGTGAATCTCAGCTCCTTGTCGGAATGTCCGGTTCCACCTTAAATGGGCAGCAGTTGTTATTATAACGGCTCAGGCGCGTGAGTGCGAGAGCTGCTCCGTTTAAGGTGGACCGGTGAGTTAAACCCAGGCTCAGCTCCGCCGCTGAGCGCCTCCTGTCTGAGTCAGACACTCCGCTTTAAACACCGCGGAGCCTCCTTAACCCGCCGCCTGCAGCCCTGCTAGCGCTAGCGTTAGCCGCTAAGCTAACCTGCTAAACTCTCCGTTCCTCCCACATGAGAGCCTGAGAGCCTCAACACCGTCACTGCAGGTGTGTGTGACGCAGTCAGAAGGTCTGCGTGTGACTCCGTTACCGCTGCTGATCAGGTTCTGTCACCTCTCCTGCCGCGAGCGGGCAGGGGTAACAGCGCTGCCGCGAGCGGGCAGGGGTAACAGCGCTGCTGTGATCCGGGGCTCTGAGTCCGCTTTAGCCTTTAGCTCATTGATAGACTAATAAACACTGTTAATGAAGGGTAAACACACTGATGCACGTGCTGGGTTCGCTGTGTGTGTTCGGTCTTTGATGTGTGTTTGATGTGTATCAGTGATCACTACAAAAAAAGCTACAACCTTTGATGAATTTCTCACTGGAAAGTACATCAACACCATTACAGAGTGGGAGCTACAGTGCGTCACTGCGTATGGTTGTTGTGGCTGTTTGGTTGCTGATAGTTGTAGTTGTTTGTGGTTGTTGTTGCTGTTTCTGCTCTTTTATGGTGTTGAATTTGTTTATGTTTGTAGTTGTTTATGATTGTAGTTTTTGGTTGTGGTTGTTCATGGTTGTTGTAAATGTCTGTTGTAGTTGTTTTGTGGTTGTTTATGGTTGATATTAAGGTTTGTTACAGTTTGTAGTTGTTTGTTGTTGTAGCGTATGATTGTGGTTGTTTATGGTTGTACTTTTTTCATTGTTTTGGTTGTTTGTATTTTGTTTGTATTTTGTTTACGGTATTGCCGTAGTTTATGGTTGTTTATGGTTATGGAATTAGTTTGTTATAGTTTGATTGTTTATGATTGTTGTAGTTGTGGTTGTTTATGATTTGTAGTTGTTGTTATTTGTTTCTGGGTGTTGCAGTAGTTTGTGGTTGTTCAGAGTTGTAATTGTTATAATTACTGTACTTGTTTTGTGATAATTTATGATTATTTATGGTCGTTTGCAGTTGTGGATTTAGTTCTTCTGGTTGTTCATGGTTGTTGTTGTTTATGGTTGTTGTTTATCTTTGTTTATAGTTGTTATTTATGGTTGTTTATGTTTGTTATTGTTGATGATTGTTGTTGTTTATGGTTGTTTGTTTACTTTCTCTGCTGTAACTCGGTCGTTTCCGCTCAGTGATTGTTTGTAATGAGCTGCAGTTTCCAGAACAGTCTGAGTGATCAGACCATCTGAACTGGTAGACAGTGAGAGAGAGAGAGTTCAGTGTGATGCTCGCTCTACCGTTTAAGAATGGTGTGGTGGTCAGCAGGTGTTGTTGGTGTGTCTGAGGGGAATAATCAGTAAACCGGGCCGGACGGTCCACCGGGCAGCACGCTGGGCCTCTGATTATACAGAGGGTGACGCTAAACTGTTTAACTGGATTTGGTGTCCAATACGGAATATAAATCACTCAGTTCTCAGATTTTCATAGTATTTTTGAAATGTAGGTTCTTTTTTTCTCTGTTTCAGCTGGAATAGAATAAATATCGTGACATTGTTCGCCAAAGCGAACGCCTGAGTACTCAGATTATTAGGCCCCGCCCTGTACGCATCTTCATCTGTTGACGGAGAAACGGGTTTCCTCTTTCTGACGGGATGCTGAGCGCGGAGAACCGGAACGTCTGGATGGAGATAAAACAGTTTGTGCTGTTGTTTGTGTTGCCGTTAACGCCGGCAGCTCGTGGGAAATCATGTGACAACACACCCTCCAGAGAGCTCCGCCCACTTTTCTGTTATGTCCAGGTGCTCGAGAGCGGTGCTGATCCGGTTCTGCGATCAGATCAGTGGAACTGTACCTCACTGCCCAGTGGGAGAACGCGTTGAAGCTCTTAATGACCCCTGATTCACTGGTGTTTATTGATGACCCCTCATGTATTGATGGCCCCTGATTTGCTGGTGATGCCTGATTTATTGCCGACCCCTGTTTTACTGATGATTATAGATGACCTCTGATTTATTGATAACCCGTTTTATTGATGACCCCTGATTTATTGCGGAGTGCGGGCGGCGCTAAGCTGACGTCCTTCCCTGTGAAGGTGGTGGATGTGAGATTATCCTTTAGCTGTTATATCCAGATTCAGGTCTGTGCTGTAGCTGTTCTTACAGGTGTGTGTGTTTGTGTTCAGACTCACTCATGGATCTCCACAGTGCCGGTTCCGTGGTTCTGCAGGCTCTGACTCAGGCCACCAGCCAGAACACGGCCGAGCTGAAGCCTGCCGAGGAGCAGCTGCGACAGTGGGAGACGCAGCCGGGCTTTTACTCCGTACTGCTGGTAAGATATTGCTCCGCCCATCTGCTTTACAGCACCACCCAGACGATATATAGCTCCTCCTACAGCCCAACCTGTCCTTTAGCTCCACCCACAGCCTCACCTGTCCTATAGCTCCACCCACAGTCCCACCTGTCCTACAGGTCCACCCACAACCGCACCTGTCCTATAGCTCCATCCGCAGTCCCACCTGTCCTATAGCTCCAACCACAGCCACACCTGTCTTATAGCTCCACCCACAGCCACACTTGTCCTATAGCTCAACCCATAGCCACACCTGTCCTATTGCTCCACCTACAGCCCCACCCACAATTCCACCTACCCTATGTCTCCACCTACAGACCCACCTGCCCTATAGCTTTGCCTTTTGAACCTCCTGTCCGATAGGTCCACCCACAGTCACACCTGTCCTGTAGTTCTATCCCCAGCCAAACCTGTCCTTTAGGTCCGCCACAGCCACACCTGTCCTATAGCTCCACCCACAGCCACACCTGTCCTATAGCTCCACCCACAGCCGCACATTTGACTTGTTGTGATATACATGCAGAGATTTTTGCAGAGCAGAAAAGTGTGTTTTGTCCGTAAAGGGAGGATAAATGAGCCTGTAGAGTTTTGGCTCTTAGCTGCTCTGTGTTTATAGTCCAGTCTCTGATTACCTGAGCTGCCTGCTTTTCTCAGCTCATGGTTTATTTATGAGAGGATTCATCATTAACACAGTGGAATATTTTAAAGATGGAACGTTCTGCCTGTTTGATGACGCAGTTGGTTCAGGGAACGTGTTCGGGGGTCCGGGTGGGCTCTGCGCTGCTCAGACTCAGTGTAACGTTGCTGATAAGAGTCTGTGTATAAGAGGCTGCTCGCTGTAATAATGAGTTTTCTGTGTGAGATGAATATTTCAGAGTGGGGTCAGTCGCGGTCCGGCGCGCTGCTGCGGATGATATTAATAATTCCGGATTTGTGGAGGACGAGGAACATGAAGTTTAGAAATTACAGAATATTATTTTAAACTAATTTCCCTACATCATGTAAAGCGCAGCAGCACGGATCCTCACAGCACCAACACAGAGAGCTCGCATCCCCCCGTTACACACTGCACTGACCGCCTGGGTCTGTTAGAGAGAGTTTAAAGCTCTGCTGCTGGTTTTTAAAGCTCTAAATGACCTTAAAGCTCCTGACCGTCTGTCTGTTTATGATCTCAGATCTGCAGATTCTGACCTTCTGAACTCCTTCAGTAAAACACAGAAAACGTGGAGAGACTCTTTCAGTTATTCTGCTTCTAAACTGTGGAGCTCAGTTCAGCTTTTATTAGACAGTCGAGCTCAGAGCTCACTTTTAATAAACATCTGAAAACTCAGCTCTTTAACTCAGAGCTTCAGTAAAACTCTGCGGCTCTTTGGTCTTCATCTCTTTGATCTGTGTTATTGACTTATATGATCTTTAAATTAATGCTGTTAGGTAACTGATGCAGTGTTTAATGCAGTGGAACCTTCACATCAAGTACTGCATGTTTTCATAACAGTCACTCTCATCGCTACATCGTACAACCCATCGTACAATTTCCCAGAAAGTTGGGACGCTGGGCAGAATGTAAATAAAAATAGAATGCAATGAAATGCAAATCATGTCAACCATGTTTTTAAAGGAAAATGCTACAAAGACAACATATCAAATGTTGAAATTGAGAAATTTTGTTGTTTTTTGAAAAATATTTGCCTATTTTAAGTTTGATACCAATGACACGTTCCAAAAAAGGTGGGACGGGGGCCTGTTTACCACTGAGTTTCATCACCTCTTCTTTTAAGCGTTTGGGAACTGAGGAGACACTGCTGTAGTTTAGAAAGTGAAATGTTTTCCTGTTCTTGTTTGATACAGGATTTCAGCTGCTCAGCAATTCAGGGTCTCCTATGTTGTATTTTTCATCTTATAATGTGCCAAATGTTCTCAGTGGTGACAGGTCTGGACTGCAGGCAGGTCAGTTTAGCACCGGACTCTTTTAATATGGAGCAATGCTGCTGTAATACATGCAGAATGTGGTTTTACATCGTCTTGCTGAAATAATCAAGGCCTCCCCTGAAAAAGACGTCGTCTGGATGGCAGCATATGTTGCCAAAACATGTATATATCATTCAGCATTAATGGTGCCTTCACAGATGAGCACGTCACCCATACCATGTGCACTAATGCCCCCTTATACCATCATGAATACTGGCTTTTGAACTGTGCACTGATAACAAGCTGAGTGGTCTTTAGCCCGGAGGACACAGTGTCCATGATTTCCAAAAAGAATTTCAAATGTTGATTCGTCGGACCACAGGACACTTTTCCACTTCCCCTCAGTCCATTTTAAATGAGCTCAGGCCCAGAGAAGGTGGCAGTGTTTCTGGATCCTGTTTATATTTGGTTTCTTCTTTGTGTTTTAGAGTTTTAACTTGCATTTGTGGATGCAGTGATGAACTGTTTTCACAGACAGTGGTTTTCAGAAGTGTTTCTGAGCTCATGCAGTGATTTCCACTGCAGAATCATGTCTGTTTTTAATGCAGTGCTGTCTGAGGACCCAAAGATCACAGCCAGCAAATACTGGTTTTTGGTCTTGACCCTCACATACAGAGATTTCTCCAGATTCTCTGAGTCTTTTAATGATATTTTGTACCGTAGATGATGAAAAGCAGAAGTTCTTTGCTATTTTATGTTGAGAAATTGATGGTGCAGTCTTTCACAGAGTGGTGAACCCCTCCTCATCTTTACTTCTGAAAGACTCCGCCTCTCTGAGATGATCTTTTTATTTCTTTTTAATATTGTTACTGACCTGCTGCCAATCAACCACCAGGTTAAAGCGTTAGTTCCCCCGTTCCAAATTCTAAATGAGCAAATATTTTTCCAAAAACAATAAAATTTAAAAAAAGTTTCAACATTTGGTTTGTTGTCTTTGTGCTATTTTCAAATAAATATAGGGTTTAAATGATCTACACATCATTGCATTTTGTTTTTATTTACATTTTGCACAGCTTTTTTGGAAATGTGATTGTACTTGATGTAATTAAACCCTGCGCTCTGTGGTCTCAGCTCTGTGTCGGTGTCTAAGCTGCTGATGTCTGTTGGTTCCTCTGCAGAGCATCTTCAACAACCACATGCTGGACGTGAACGTGCGGTGGCTGGCCGTGCTGTACTTCAAAAACGGGATCGACCGCTACTGGAGGAGAGTCGCTCCGCAGTAAGACCCTCAGACTCTCACCCTCACTGACCGACAGGAACACACAACCAAAACATTCATCACTCAGAGCGCAGGAGAGCGTCCGGTTCTGTCCACCGTGACGGTCAGATTAACACAGGAGACTTAAACACACAGACTGAGAAACACATTAATGAGCAGAACTGATCAGCTTAAAGTGTTCAGACCAACGAGAGACGGTTTGGTGTTCTGAGTGTAGAGATGAGGCTGTGATGTGTTTATGCTGTAATATTGGTGCATTTATTTTATAATAACATTTGTAGTGTAATGTGTGCTGTGATGGTGACGGTGATCGCTCTGTGATTATTCTTGTAGTTCGTGGGTGTTAATCTCTCTCTCTCTCTCTCTTTCTTTCTGTCTCTCTCTCTCTCTCTCTCTCTCTCTCCTGTCTCTCTCTCTCCTGTCTCTCTCTCTCTCTTTCTGTCTATCTCTCTCTCTCTCTCTCTCTCTGTCTCCTGTCTCTCCTGTCTCTCTCTCAGTGCTCTGTCAGAGGAGGAGAAGTCGTCTCTCAGAGCCGGCCTCATCACTAACTTTAACGAGCCAGTCAATCAGGTCAGTGTCCACTCCAGTCTGTGGTGTCAGGGTTCCAGTTCTCACTGAGTACCTGATGGTCAGATTTCAGTCCTGTCCTGTCTCAGTTCTGGGTTTGGGGCTCTGAGTGAGTCGTCTGAGCACATTGAACATAAAGCTGTGTTATGGAGCGAAAGCTGAGCGGTGTGGCGTTTCACAGCTCGTCTTCACTGATGGGCTTCATTTAACTACAGTCTGAATCCCAAAACTGAAACCTGACACCACCGAACGAGCTCAACATTCGGGTCATTTGAGATTGTTGAAGTGTGGATTTCATGTTGAGTAAATTCTGCCAAACGTGCTTTTTGGTGTTTGTTAGAGACGCAGGACAGTTGTCCAAAATGTCTCGGTGCTGAAGCATTAAGGTTTCCCTTCACTGGAACTAAGGGTTCTAGACCAACCCCTGAAGAACAGCCCCATATCATCATCCCTCCTCCACCAAATTGTACAGCTGGCACAGTGCGGTCAGGCAGGTAACGTTCTCCTGGCATTCGCCAAACCCAGACTCGTCCATCAGACTGACAGATAGAGAAGCTGATTGGTCACTCCTCAGAATACGTTTCACTGCTCCAGAGTCCAGTGGCGGCACTTTACCCCACTCCATCCGACGCTTGGCGTTGTGCACAGTGATCTTAGGCTAAGTACAGCTGCTCGGACATGGAAACCCATTTCGTGAAGCTCCTGGTGGACAGTTCTTGTGCTGATGTTGCTTCCAGAGACAGTTGGGAACTCTTTAGTGATTCAGCAGAGGATAGTCACTGCGCTCTTCAGCACTCTGTGAGTTTGGGTGGTGTACGGCTTCGTGGCTGAGCTGATGCTTCCTTTTTACAAAAATAGCATTTACAGTTGTCTGGGGCAGATTTAGCAGGACAGAAACCTCACAAACTGACTTGTGGCAGAGGCAGCATCCTGTGACAGTGACATGTTTAGTCACTGAGCTCTTCAGTGCGACCCACTACTGCCAGTGTTTGTCTATGGAGACTGACAGGCTGTGTGCCTGATTTTATACACCTGTTAGTGATGAGTGTGGCTGAAACACCTGAACTCAGTAATTAGGAGGAGCGTCCCAATACTTTTGTAGATGTAGGTAATATTGATGATTTGTATCTTTTCATTCTGCTTTCATTCACATTTTGGGCAGCGCTTTATTTTTATAGTGTTCTGATGTTCATTTAATGTAAGAGTGACTCAAAGTTTCCTTATTGTAAACTTTCACACTACAAACTTACAATTTATGGAAAATGCATATCAGCTCCAGATGTCAGTTATTGATTATCAGTGTCCCTGATTACTAATAATCAGTTTCAGCTCAAACATGAACTCTGACCTCATTGCCAACCACAAACACTGACTGTGCTGTGTGTGTGTGTGTGTGTGTGTGTGTATGTGTGTGTGTGTGTGTGTGTGTGTGTGTGTGTGTATATGTACAGGGTGTCCCAAAAAAAGTGACCTCATTTGAGATGTGAATATCTGAGTAACTACATGTCCTGGCAAAGACATTAAATAGGCTTCATGTTGATCAATACAAGATTTATTTATCAAAATTCGAACATTAAAAATTAAACTTGGTTAGTTTTTACACATTTTGCTAAAATTCGAGATCAATTGAGGGAGAATTAGCTGTTATTAGACCACGAAATGATGACGTCAATTTTTTTGGGACACCTTGTAGATTGTTATTTTTTGTGTGTAAATATATATATATATATATATATATATATATATATATATATATATATATATATATATATATATATATATAAATAATGTTGTGCCTCTATGTGTGTAAATATATATATATATATATATATATATATATATATATATATATATATATATATATATATTAATAATGTTGTGCCTGTATGTGTGTAAATATATATCGTTTGTGTGTTGTGTGTGTAGATTGCGACGCAGATTGCGGTGCTGATAGCGAAGGTTGCACGGCTGGACTGTCCACGTCAGTGGCCCGAGCTGATCCCGGTTCTGCTGGAGAAGGTGAAGGTTCAGGACGTTCTGCAGCAGCACCGAGCGCTGCTCACGTTCTACCATGTCACCAAGACCCTCGCCTCCAAACGCCTCGCGGCTGACCGCAGACTGTTCCAGGACGTGAGTACCACACATACACACACGCGCACACACACACATTTACACACACATACACACATACACATATATGCGTATACATGCAAATATATGTGTATATATATATATAGTGTAATGATCCAGCTTATCTTGTGTTGCAGTGTTTGAGGTAGTTTGATGTAGTACTCATTTTTATTTTCTATCTAAAGTCACAGTATTAATAACATTATTTACTCTGTACTGGTAATTTAGCATTCTGGAAGTGAAAAAGAAATATATACATACACCAGCACAAATTGTGTATATATATATATATATATATATGTTATATATATATATATATATATATATATATATATATAACATACATTTAAAACAGTGGCTGTAAATCTGTCTGTAATCTCGTCTGTTTTTTCGTCTGTCTGTGCTGAGCTGCTGAGTTTTGTGTCTGTGTGTCTCAGTTTTTGATCTGCGGCTCTTTAAAGCTCTTTTATTTGTTTGTCTGTGTTTGTTTTTCCTCCTGTGTGTTTCTCTGTGGTGAAGCTGCAGTGATCTGTCCTGTAGTTACAGAGTCCTGCCTGCAGGGGGCGCTGTGTCTCTCTCAGACTGGAGATCACTGATAAATCTCACTCTGTACTGAACAGATTCTGATCATGTACTCTTTGTTGTGCAGGGGGTCTTTTCCTCTTTAAACAAAGGAAAATTCCACCGATTTTCCAGAATTCCCCCATAATTCAGTGTGTGAGCTGTGATCAGAGTGATTCAGAGCGGTTTGGTGTGAAATGGTTCAGATGCCTTTACAGTGGTGGTGATAGGAACCAGGGGTTGCCATGACTACAACACAAATATAGACATTTTATTTACTATCCAGAACCACCAGTGAACCTACACGAGTCTTCTGAGTTTATATGGAATGTTGATGATGGAAAATAGTGGAAAATCTGAAATAATAAGTTTTCTTTGGGGGCTATTTTGCCTCACAGCGCCCTGCATGTATCCCTCCACCATGAATGGAGTTTAAGTTCTCTAAACTATCATAAAACAGTGTCTCAGTCATCAGGCAGTGAATTCATAACCATTTCATGTAGGAACTTTCTGTGAGGGAGCTTTTAGAGGTGGACGTCTGGTTCCTATCACCACCACTGTGAACAGTTCTGACTCGGTAAGTTTATCTAGAACGGAGCGTTTCACACCAAACCACTCTGAACCGCTCTGAATACATCTTAACCAGGTAATTATGGAGGAATAGAAGTGTTTGCTTTGAGTTTCGTCTCATGCGGAGCTGCATCTCCAAAATCTGAAGAACCTTTTCTCCATGCAGAGAACACTTTTCATTGTTATCTTCAACTTTTCAACTGTTCCTGGTTCCATATAGAACCATTCTGTTACTAAGTAACTCTTAAAGAACCGTCTTTTTAAGAATGTAGCTTAAAAATAAAGGGTAATTAATAAATGAATAAAAAGAATAATGAAAGTGACACAAACACTAAAATGTACCAAAGTCCTGTTTGAAGGTGAAAGTCAAAGACAGAGTGAGTGTGAGCTGGAGAACCTCAGCGGTTCTGCAGAATGGCGTGGCATTTGGAAGTTCAGCAGAGTTCACGGTTCTGAAATATCAGGAGACCGGACTGAAGGGGTGAGCGATCATGGAGGACCGGAGCTCCTCACTCGAACAGGAGGAGGAGGAGGACCTGAAATCACAGTGACCACATGAGAACAGTGACCTATTATTAAGATGATCGTGTCGTCCAGCAGTGACGGCCAAACGTTTTGTTGTCATTCATTTAATTCCGTTTTGTGTTTTCAAAATAAAAAAGTTTTGATCGTGTGTTTGTGGGAGCTGTGTGCTGAAGGTTCTCCTGCAGAACGTTAGTGCTGCTGAGGGCGCTGATAACAACGCGTACTACTTAGCAGCGGTTCTTTAATTGAGGCTCACTGACTGATAAATACAGAACTTTCATATAATCTGGTTATTACTGACCTGTAGCCACTGACCGCAGAGCAGGAGGGAGGGGCTGGGTTAGTTCGTGGGTAGGGCTTCAGAGGGAACACCGCAGGGAGGGGCTGTTAGTTTGTGGGTGGGGCTTTGGAGGGAACACTGAAGGGAGGGGCTGTATTTGGGGGCGGGACCTTGGAGGCTCCCTGTATTTGTGTCAGTGCTGCCTGTAAAGCGGTTTGGAGCTGGTTGGCGGGGCAGGTGGACTCCCTGCTGGATCAATCAGAGCTCAGGTGATTTGTCCCAGCAGGTGAGGCTCCTCCCAGCAGGCAGGTAATGAGTAATAGGGATGTTATTTGGAGCTGTGCTGGAGACGGAGACACGCTCGTTTAGACTCTCTGAACTGTTTTTCCTCTGAACTGTGTCGCCTCTCGAGCTGGAAGGCTTCCTCTGATCAAAGCGCCTCTGCTCTGTTCTAAAGTTCATTTAAATCCAGCCGCTGGGCAGCTCTTAATTTCCTTAACGAGGACAGAACGTCTCCTTCTGCAGGCGCGTATTAATAATTACTGTTCGTTTGTGTGTTTATATACCTTGTTTGTGAAAATGGCAGCAGTTTTTGTACTCGTTGGGTTTGTTTTGTAATGATTAACCCTGGCACTCAGAGAAGCGCGCCCTCTTCACCACCTCATTATCTGAGTTCATCTGTTTCACCTTAAATGGTGCAGCTGTTACTTTCTGGCTCCTCAGGCGTTACGGCGACGTTCACATTAACAGTGACTCAGATCTGATCTTTTCGACCTTGAGCCACTTTCATGTGTGGTCCAGATCAGACATGTATCCGATGATTCGTGGCCGTGTGACCTTATTGAGAGCGCTCGACTGACGATCTCAGGTCAGGCCTCCGAGCACGAATTCAGTGATCTGACCCGCAATAATCTGTTCTTTTTCATCTTTAACGTCCCATTTAGAATCATTGATCTTCCCACAGTCCCACACCTGGCAACCAGTTGGCAACCCCCTAACAACCACTCAGTAAACACTCCATACACTGTGGCAGCCTTCTAGCAACACCTTAGCAACCACCCAGTACACCTTGGCAACACCTTAGCAACACCCTGGCACACCATTGCAGCCTTCTAGCAGCACCTTTACAACCAATCCCTAATACTATAGCAGCTGCAGCACCTTAACAGCCACATAGCAACACCTTAGCAACCACCTAGTACACTTCGGCAATCGGAGCCTCACCGTAAACCAGCCAATCAGAGCAGAGCTCATCAGATTATTCATGAGTCCCCAAAAAAGGGAAAACATTTCATTCTAGGGCCAAACCAGAGGCTGTAAATGGGCGAGTAAAACCACATCCGGGCATTTTCACCCTGACCAAAGTCACAGAGCTTCTATACACACAGAGAATGATTTACAAACTGAATAAATGCGTTCGGCGCCTTTAAGGTGGAACAGACGAATCAAAATATGAAGGTAGTGAGCAGCTCTGAACACTCAACACAGCGGCCTCATAGCTAGTTAACAGCAGAGGAAGCGGTTCATTGCACAGGCAGGCTTATCTAATAATAACCATCACTACACGTCTAATTAGAGCTGCAGGATTATTATGGGCTGTAAGAGTCTCTCAGTGTTTTGGCACTTTACAGATTACAGCTTTAATGAGGCCTGACAGCTTCGCAAATTACAGAGAAGCTGACCGCGATCCCCAAACGCTCAGACCGGGACGCCCTGACGAGGGAGAGGAGCTCGGAGTGTTTACAGACCTCCTTTAGCAGAAACTGAAAACATTACATCTGATATTTCAGTGGGAGGGCAGTGCTGAATGGGCGGAGCTAAACTGCTGTAGGCTGAATGGGTGGAGCTAAACTGCTGTAGACTGAATGGTGGAGCTAAACTGCTGTAGGCTGAATGGGTGGAGCTAAACTGCTGTAGACTGAATGGTGGAGCTAAACTGCTGTAGCTGAATGGTGGAGCTAAACTGCTGTAGACTGAATGGTGGAGCTAAACTGCTGTAGCTGAATGGTGGAGCTAAACTGCTGTAGCTGAATGGTGGAGCTAAACTGCTGTAGACTGAATGGTGGAGCTAAACTGCTGTAGACTGAATGGTGGAGCTAAACTGCTGTAGACTGAATGGTGGAGCTAAACTGCTGTAGCTGAATGGTGGAGCTAAACTGCTGTAGACTGAATGGTGGAGCTAAACTGCTGTAGACTGAATGGTGGAGCTAAACTGCTGTAGCTGAATGGTGGAGCTAAACTGCTGTAGCTGAATGGTGGAGCTAAACTGCTGTAGACTGAATGGTGGAGCTAAACTGCTGTAGACTGAATGGTGGAGCTAAACTGCTGTAGCTGAATGGTGGAGCTAAACTGCTGTAGCTGAATGGTGGAGCTAAACTGCTGTAGCTGAATGGTGGAGCTAAACTGCTGTAGACTGAATGGTGGAGCTAAACTGCTGTAGACTGAATGGTGGAGCTAAACTGCTGTAGACTGAATGGTGGAGCTAAACTGCTGTAGACTGAATGGGCGGAGCTAAACTGCTGTAGCTGAATGGTGGAGCTAAACTGCTGTAGACTGAATGGTGGAGCTAAACTGCTGTAGCTGAATGGTGGAGCTAAACTGCTGTAGACTGAATGGGCGGAGCTAAACTGCTGTAGACTGAATGGTGGAGCTAAACTGCTGTAGACTGAATGGGCGGAGCTAAACTGCTGTAGACTGAATGGGTGGAGCTAAACTGCTGTAGCTGAATGGGCGGAGCTAAACTGCTGTAGCTGAATGGGCGGAGCTAAACTGCTGTAGCTGAATGGGCGGAGCTAAACTGCTGTAGACTGAATGGGTGGGGCTAAACTGCTGTAGCTGAATGGTGGAGCTAAACTGCTGTAGCTGAATGGTGGAGCTAAACTGCTGTAGACTGAATGGTGGAGCTAAACTGTTGTAGCTGAATGGGCGGAGCTAAACTGCTGTAGCTGAATGGTAGAGCTAAACTGCTGTAGCTGAATGGTGGAGCTAAACTGCTGTAGACTGAATGGGCGGAGCTAAACTGCTGTAGCTGAATGGGCGGAGCTAAACTGCTATAGACTGAATGGGCGGAGCTAAACTGCTGTAGACTGAATGGGCGGAGCTAAACTGCTGTAGACTGAATGGTGGAGCTAAACTGCTGTAGACTGAATGGGTGGAGCTAAACTGCTGTAGCTGAATGGTGGAGCTAAACTGCTATAGCTGAATGGTGGAGCTAAACTGCTGTAGACTGAATGGTGGAGCTAAACTGCTGTAGACTGAATGGTGGAGCTAAACTGCTGTAGCTGAATGGTGGAGCTAAACTGCTGTAGACTGAATGGTGGAGCTAAACTGCTGTAGATTGAATGGTGGAGCTAAACTGCTGTAGCTGAATGGTGGAGCTAAACTGCTGTAGACTGAATGGTGGAGCTAAACTGCTGTAGACTGAATGGTGGAGCTAAACTGCTGTAGACTGAATGGTGGAGCTAAACTGCTGTAGACTGAATGGTGGGGCTAAACTGCTATAGACTGAATGGTGGAGCTAAACTGCTGTAGACTGAATGGTGGAGCTAAACTGCTGTAGCTGAATGGGTGGAGCTAAACTGCTGTAGCTGAATGGGTGGAGCTAAACTGCTGTAGCTGAATGGGTGATGTTAATGTAAAAGTGTTGATTTTTGTGACATCATAAAAACCGTTAAAGCTGAGCTCGGAGCTCCGTTAACTCTCTGTAATGTACGCTGGATGTTTGTGGGTTGTTGTGATGTATAGAGATGCTCTAAATCACCGTGGAGGCATTGTAACTGTCGCCATGGCGCTCGCTCCCATCGCCGCCGGCAGGAGCAGCAAGACCCTCAGAGTGGGAGAGTTAAAGAGACTTCAGCATCATTTAGACTGAGAGGGAGCTGCTCTGTTCCTGAGTTCAGTACAGACTAACTTCACCACACAGAGAGAGAGAGAGAGAGAGAGGGAGAAAACAGAGAGAGAGAGAGAGAGGGAGAAAACAGAGAGAGAGAGAGAGAGGGAGAAAACAGAGAGAGAGGGAGAAAACAGAGAGAGAGAGAGAGGGAGAAAACACAGAGAGAGAGAGAGGGAGAAAACAGAGAGAGAGGGAGAAAACAGAGAGAGAGAGAGGGAGAAAACAGAGAGAGAGAGAGAGAGGGATCATCTTTTCATCTTTTTCTATCATCTATCATCTTTGTCTTTTCTTTTTTATGTGTTTCTTATTAACTGCTTTGGCAACAGTGCATTTCATTACATTCATGCCAATAAAGCACTATTGAACTTGAACTTGAGAGAGGGAGAAAACAGAGACAGAGAGAGAGAGAGAGAGAACAGAGACAGACAGAGAGAGAGAGAAAAGGAGAGGACAGAGACAGAGAGAGAGAGAGAGAAAACAGACAGACAGAGAGAGAGAGAGAAGGAGATAACAGACACAGAGAGAGAGAGAGAGAGAGAGAGAGAGAAGGAGATAACAGACACAGAGAGAGAGAGAGAGAACAGAGACAGACAGAGAGAGAGAGAAAAGGAGAGAACAGAGACAGACAGAGAGAGAGAGAAAAGGAGAGAACAGAGACAGAGAGAGAGAAGGAGATAACAGACACAGAGAGAGAGAGAGAGAGAACTCAAACGTCCTGAGCAGCTTTTTTTAAAACATCGTCACTTCATCTGAAAATATGAACATCGTCACCCAGAAGATGAAGAGTTTACTGCTGCGTCTGGTCCGGTGTGTATTTGGTCTCAGTGTCTCTCCAAAAGTGCTGTGTTGGTCTCGCAGGTTCTGCGTTAAACGCTGTGTTAAACGCTGTTCACTGTTTCCGTGACGACGCTCTGTTTTCACACGTGCTCAGACTAAGACAAACGAAAGAAATCAGAGTGAGAGTTTACACTGAAAACCCCTTTACTGACTCAGAGTCAGAGTGTGTGTTTAATAATCAGATAACTGCAGGAATCTGATAATGATCAGATTATGAAGTGATTGTTTAATCTACAGACTTCTGTCCAATCACAGCCCTATTGTTTGCTGTCCGGTGTGGTCCAGAGGAGGATGGGTTCTCCTTTTGGGTCTTGGTTCCTCTCAGTGGTTCTTTCTCTGAGGGAGGTTTAGTCTAGTTTAGTGACACTGATGGACCCAGATCTTTCTGTAAAGCTGTTTTGTGACGACACCTGCTGTAAAAAGTGCTGCGTAAATAAATTTGAAAGTTGATGTGAGACTGAACTCTGTGTGTGTGTGTGTGTGTCTGTGTGTGTGTGTGTGTGTGTGTGTGTTTGTGTGTGTGTGTTTGTGTGTGTGTGTGTGTGTGTGTGTGTGTTTGTGTGTGTGTGTGTGTGTGTGTGTGTGTTCTCCAGTTAGCCTCCAGCATCTACAGCTTTGCCTGTTCTCTGTGGAACCACCACACAGACACGTTCCTGCTGCAGATCCACTGTGGAGACCAACAGGAGGCGCTGAGCTCTCTGGAGCGTACACTGCTCTCTCTGAAGGGTAACACACACACACACACACACACACACACACACACACACACACACACACACACACTATCATTAATGATTCTCAGAAGACCCCCAGACACTCAGCCCCCCTTCAGGACACAGAAATATAATGTAGTTAGATTTTCAGTGTGAGCGTTTGAGCGTTAAATTTAACTGGACTGATTATTGATTATTGATTACGATATTTTACACTAGTTTCATGTTTCATACTCTGATATTAATATTTAGTATTGTTTGCCATATGGCCCTGCCCTACCTTTATTACAGTATTCTGAGTATTTATCACTTCATATGACACTAATTTTATGACACTATGGCTGAATATCAGTCCTATTGTCTTATTTTATATTAAACTAGTTCCTAATTGTAGAATATTTCTCATGACTCTGCAAAAATCGATCTCTGATGATTTGAGCGCGAGTCCTCAGTGAGGATCTGTCTCTGCTCCACAGTTCTGAGGAAGTTGACTGTTCATGGATTTGTGGAGCCTCAGGAGAACATGGAGGTGATGGTGAGTCTGAATCACACACAGGACGCTAATTAGCCTTGAGGGTCTACAAGCTCAAACACCTCATTAACACTGACCATTAAATGAACATTCTCCTCCAGCACCTCACCGTACGATAGGGCCGTGCGATAGGGCCGTACGATAGGGCAGTGCGATAGGGCCGTGCGATAGGGCCGTACGATAGGGCCGTGCGATAGGGCCGTACGATAGGGCCGTACGATAGGGCCGTGCGATAGGGCTGTGTGATAGGGCCGTGCGATAGGGCCGTGCGATAGGGCTGTGTGATAGGGCCGTGCGATAGGGCCGTGCGATAGGGCTGTGTGATAGGGCTGTGTGATAGGGCCGTGCGATAGGGCCGTGCGATAGGGCCGTGCGATAGGGCTGTGTGATAGGGCTGTGTGATAGGGCCGTGCGATAGGGCCGTGCGATAGGGCTGTGTGATAGGGCTGTGTGATAGGGCCGTGCGATAGGGCCGTGCGATAGGGCCGTGCGATAGGGCTGTGTGATAGGGCTGTGTGATAGGGCCGTGCGATAGGGCTGTGTGATAGGGCTGTGTGATAGGGCTGTGTGATAGGGCCGTACGATAGGGCCGTGCGATAGGGCCGTACGATAGGGCCGTGCGATAGGGCTGTGCGATAGGGCTGTGTGATAGGGCTGTGTGATAGGGCCGTGCGATAGGGCCGTGCGATAGGGCTGTGCGATAGGGCTGTGTGATAGGGCCGTGCGATAGGGCCGTGCGATAGGGCTGTGTGATAGGGCCGTACGATAGGGCCGTACGATAGGGCCGTGCGATAGGGCTGTGTGATAGGGCCGTACGATAGGGCCGTACGATAGGGCTGTGTGATAGGGCTGTGTGATAGGGCCGTACGATAGGGCCGTGCGATAGGGCTGTGTGATAGGGCCGTGCGATAGGGCCGTGCGATAGGGCTGTGTGATAGGGCTGTGTGATAGGGCCGTGCGATAGGGCCGTGCGATAGGGCTGTGTGATAGGGCCGTGCGATAGGGCCGTACGATAGGGCCGTGCGATAGGGCCGTGCGATAGGGCTGTGTGATAGGGCCGTACGATAGGGCCGTACGATAGGGCCGTGCGATAGGGCCGTGCGATAGGGCCGTGCGATAGGGCTGTGTGATAGGGCCGTACGATAGGGCCGTGCGATAGGGCCGTGCGATAGGGCCGTGCGATAGGGCTGTGTGATAGGGCCGTGCGATAGGGCCGTGCGATAGGGCTGTGCGATAGGGCCGTGCGATAGGGCCGTACGATAGGGCCGTGCGATAGGGCCGTGCGATAGGGCCGTGCGATAGGGCCGTGCGATAGGGCCGTGCGATAGGGCCGTGTGATAGGGCCGTACGATAGGGCCGTACGATAGGGCCGTGCGATAGGGCTGTGTGATAGGGCCGTGCGATAGGGCCGTGCGATAGGGCTGTGTGATAGGGCCGTACGATAGGGTCGTGCGATTGGGCCGTGCGATAGGGCCGTACGATAGGGCCGTGCGATAGGGCCGTGCGATAGGGCCGTACGATAGGGCCGTGCGATAGGGCCGTACGATAGGGCCGTACGATTGGGCCGTACGATAGGGCCGTGCGATAGGGTCGTGCGATAGGGTCGTGCGATAGGGCCGTGCGATAGGGCCGTGCGATAGATAGGTACTTTAATCATTATTACAATAAACACATGGTGCAGATCTTGACTCGCTCCGAGACTCGCCCCGAGACTCGCCCCGGGACTCGCTCCGAGACTCATTCAGCAGATCTGAGGAGGTTTCGCAGGAATCACTCTAAACTCTACATCAGCTTGGTTGGAGCAAGATTGTGGACCTTCTGAGGACCAAGTGCTCAAGTTTAGCTGGTCTAAGTCTGGCTTTAGCTGGTCTAAGTCTGACTTTCGCTGGTCTAAGTCTGGCTTTAGCTGGTCTAAGTCTGACTTTAGCTGGTCTAAGTCTGACTTTCGCTGGTCTAAGTCTGGCTTTAGCTGGTCTAAGTCTGACTTTTGCTGGTCTAAGTCTGACTTTAGCTGGTCTAAGTCTGGCTTTAGCTGGTCTAAGTTTGACTTTAGCTGGTCTAAGTCTGACTTTAGCTGGTCTAAGTCTGACTTTAGCTGGTTTGAGTCTGGCTTTAGCTGGTCTAAGTCTGGCTTTAGCTGGTTTGAGTCTGACTTTAGCTGGTCTAAGTCTGGCTTTAGCTGGTCTTAGTCTGGCTTTAGCTGGTCTAAGTTTGACTTTAGCTGGTCTAAGTCTGGCTTTAGCTGGTCTTAGTCTGGCTTTAGCTGGTCTGAGTCTGGCTTTAGCTGGTCTAAGTCTGGCTTTAGCTGGTCTAAGTTTGACTTTAGCTTGTCTAAGTCTGGCTTTAGCTGGTTTGAGTCTGGCTTTAGCTGGTTTGAGTCTGACTTTAGCTGGTCTAAGTTTGACTTTAGCTGGTCTGAGTCTGGCTTTAGCTGGTCTGAGTCTGGCTTTAGCTGGTCTAAGTCTGGCTTTAGCTGGTCTGAGTCTGGCTTTAGCTGGTCTAAGTCTGGCTTTAGCTGGTCTGAGTCTGGCTTTAGCTGGTCTAAGTCTGGCTTTAGCTGGTTTGAGTCTGACTTTAGCTGGTCTAAGTTTGACTTTAGCTGGTCTGAGTCTGGCTTTAGCTGGTCTAAGTCTGGCTTTAGCTGGTCTGAGTCTGGCTTTAGCTGGTCTAAGTCTGGCTTTAGCTGGTCTGAGTCTGGCTTTAGCTGGTCTAAGTCTGGCTTTAGCTGGTCTAAGTCTGGCTTTAGCTGGTCTGAGTCTGACTTTAGCTGGTCTAAGTCTGGCTTTAGCTGGTCTGAGTCTGACTTTAGCTGGTCTAAGTCAGGGCTGAGAATGAGTGAGGTGGTTCTTCAGGGCTGATCTCACTCTGACCTTTGAGCAGAGCTCTGGGTTTAGGAGGACACTTACATTCTGATGGTCAGCTTTATTACATTAGCATGACTGATTCAGTGTGAATGATCAGACTTAGGATCAGACTGTGTTTCTACCACTTTAACTCCACAACTTCTGTGAATCTGTGTTTAAAGATCAAAGAGACTTTTTTTCTTCTGTTTAGCTATTAGAGCGTAAATGTCCAGTTAATTATGTTCTCTCACTGGCCGCTTTATTAGAAACACCCCCACCTACTTCTGCTCAGTGGCCACTTTATTAGAAACACTTGCTATATAGTTTCACTATATTTGTGTACAGTTACTCTCTCTCTCTCTCTCTCTCTCTCTCTCTCTCTCTCTTTCTCTTCCTGTCTCTCTCTTCCTCTCCCTCTCTCCCTCTCTCCCTCCCTCTCTCTCTCTCCCTCCCCCTCTCTCTCTCTCTCTCTCTCTCTGTAGGCGTTTCTCAGTGCGGTGTTTGAGAGGCTGAAGCAGTTTTTAGAATGCTGTAAGTACTTTGATCTTTTTTTCTTAAATTTGAAAATCAAAAGCATATTAATGAATCTTATTGTACACCAGTTTAGCTCCACCCATTCAGCCTACACCAGTTTAGCTCCACCCATTCAGCCTACACCAGTTTAGCTCCACCCAGCTGCTGGAGGTTTCAGGTGCAGGTGGTTAAAGCGACAGTTTGTCCAATAATCCCCTCAGCGTGTTTGTTTGTTTGTTTGTTTGTTTGTTTGGTGCTTCTTTAGTTTCAGCACTGGAGCTTCTAGGCTAATATAGCTAACAGGTAATGGAAGCTTATAGCCACCAGTTAGCATCAGTGAAGTTAGCGCACTGTCCTCCAGCTGCAGATCTCAGTGTTCAGTTCCACCTTAAACAGTTCAGCCATGTTTATCAGGGCTTCACTGGGTTTGAGTGTTTATAGTGTTCATGTTGTGTTTATTGTTTATTGTCTGATTATTGTTTGTTTATTGATTGAGTATTGTTTATTGTGTTTTTCGGATGTTTATTCTGTTTTTTTGTGTTTTATTGTTCATTATTGTTTGTGTGATTGTGTTTTGTTGTTGTTTGTTATTGTTTATTGTTGTGTTGTTTATTGTATGTTGTTTATGGTTGTTTGTTGCGTGTTTGTTGTTTGTGCAGGTGGTCAGGTGGGGGTGGGCAGTGTGTGCAGAGAGAAGCTGGAGAAGACGATCATCCTGTTCACTAAAGTGGTGAGTCTGAGTGTCTGTAGTTTCTCTCTGTCTGTCTGATTGTTTGTTTGTTTGTTTGTTTGTTTGTTTGTAGGAGTTTGTGTAAACAATCTGAAGGTAATTAAGCGGCTGTTTGTTTGTTTGTTTATCTGTCTCTTTGGGTGCAGCTGCTGGACTTCCTGGAGTACCACCCGTTCCCGTTCATCCCTCTGATCCAGCGCTGTCTGGAGTTCTCGGTCAGCTTCGTGTTCACGGCGGCGGGAGACGGTCTGCTGTTCGAGAGGTTCATCGTCCAGTGCATGAACCTCATCAAGAGCATTGTGAAGAACGAAGCCTACAGACCCGACAAGAACATCGAGGGTGTGTTTACCTTCTGTCTCACCTCGAGATGTTATCACCACTAATATAAACATATATAGAGCATTTTCTGAAGCTCTAGAAGCTTTAGAAGCTCCGTTCATCTGAACACATCTAACAGTTTGTTTTATGTAGTTACTAATTATTTATAATTATTTACACTGATTATTGGTTATTTATTTGTGCTAATTTCTGGTAATTGTTTATAATATTTGTCAGTAATAATTTATGCTGATAATTGCTGTAATTGTTTACAGCATTAATTATTAATAATTGTTTACACTAATTATTGGTAATTATTTATGTTGATTATTTGTGGTTATTTACAGTGTATTTGAATCATTTTGTTCATTAATCTGTCAACATCCTGGTTACGTTGTCAGAAACGTTGATCTTAAATGATAATATTATGTAAATCAGTTTAATTACTGAAATTAAAATTATTAAAGGGAATTTATTAAACTGAAATATTATTACAAATTTCAGCTGCCTCAATGTTTTCATTGTCAGTCAAGATTATAACCCTGTAATACAGTTTCAGCAGTGCAGTGCGCAGTGAAATATGAGGCCTGAATGTCAGTCTGGATTCTGCACTGCAAACACAGAAAACAACAAATAAACACACAAAACAAACAAACTAATAGTTAGCTACAGCATTTTATGCTGCTGTAATCTCACTGTACAGTGACTGTGTGTGATGTTTGTTAATCTGAGGTTTATGCTGCTGTAATCTCACTGTACAGTGACTGTGTGTGTGTTGATGTTGTTACAGACAGTAAACCTGAAGTTCTGGAAGCTCATAAGATTAAAACGGCGTTCTTCACCCACCCGACGCTGACCGAGATCGCCAAGAGACTCGTCTCCAAGTACTTCCTGCTGACGGAGGAGGAGCTGGTCATGTGGGAGGAGGATCCCGAGGGCTTTGGTACGTCAGTGCTAATGAGACGTGAAAGTTAACATGATGTAAACATTAACGTAAGAGCTTCGGTACGTAGCGTAAAAGCTAATATCACGTTAAAGTTAATGGACGCAGCTATGAACGTCGCATGATCGTTAACATGATGTAAATGTTAATATATCGTAATTGTTAATGTGACATAATTTAACGAGACGCAAACGTTAATCAGTCTTTACTGTTAATGTGGTGTAAATGTTCATGAAAGAATTGTTAACGTGACATAATTACGAGAAAAATATGTGACGAAAATGTCAATGTGACAAAAGTTAATTTGACGTAGTCGTTAATTCGATGTGAACGGTGACGTAAAATCTAACGTGATGCAGTGACGTAACTGTTAATGCTATTTAAACTATTACGTGACCTGATTATTAATTTGAAACAGCTGTTAAACATGAATGTAACTTCATCGTTAACGTGACGTAAACCTTAAATAGACGCAATCGTTAAACGTTAGTGACGGTGTAAGAAGCCTAGTCATTTGAGAGTGGGTGTGTCCATAGAATAAGCCCTGCCCACTTTACTCTGATAGCTGCTCCCAGAAGCCTAGTATTGATCATTAGCGGTGGTTTCAGTGAGAGCCGCTGTGTTCATGTCCAGTGATGTATGCTGTACAGGTTCTGAGGGAATCAGTGTGTAGGTCAGTGAGAGCCGTGACGGAGATGATGTTCTGTTCTGTATGAGTTCGGTGAAGCTCCTCGTTCTGCTGTTACAGTGAGGAGGCGTCGCTCTGCTGCGGGAGAAGTTAAAACAGCTCCTTCAGTTTGAGACGAGGTAGAACATCAGAGCGTTTCTCACTGAAGACCAGACTGTTCCTCGCGCAGCTGTGACCTGCGGCTCAGTGAGGGCTTGAAACGTTAAAGCAGGTTCTGTCAGAGTGGATCTCACCTGACGACTCAAACGAGGCTCAGATCACACTGAGGAGTTCTAGATCTGACGGAGAACTCACATGTGCTGGAGAACTTCAGTTTAGAAGTCTGACCTTCTAAAGTTCCTCAGATCTCCTGTTGACCTTCTGCTTTATAAACACACTGAGAACCAAGTTCTGCATTTCCTGTGAATATTCAGAAACCCAGTCAGATCTTGCAGAGCTAAATGATCCTTTATTAATAGATGAATCTATTGACTATTTTATTGATGCATCCATTGATCTAAATTTAAGCTGTCAGATGGTATAAAAGAGTAACTGTGATGAATCACAGTATTTTAATCGTAATTAGTCCCATTTGCCTGGTAATTAAGCAGTGCATTGTGTTAAAGCTATGTGAGAAAATAAACTCCATCAGAATTTATTACTTTCAGTAATTTTATTTTCATTGTGCCGTTTTTTTTAAATCCTCATCATTACTGTACCATCAGTTTGAAACTGTATCGTTAATCTGAGTCTGTTCTGTTAATCCGAACCTGTACCATTAATCTTAACCTATACCGTTAATCTGAATCTGTGCCACTAATCTAAGTCTGTACCCTTAACCTGAGTCTGTTCATTAATCTTGTTAATATGTGGAGAGTAACGTGATGGTATCAGAAGATCTTGCAGGTTCTGCAGGTGTCTCTGGTTCTGTTGAGCGTAATGAGAACGGATTCAGATTCCGAGCTGATCAGATCAGAGAGGATGTTGAGGGAATAGTTTGCGCCGCTGATGACGAGCCGCTAATGGGATAACGAGTTTAACAGCAGGAGACTCAGTGACTCCTCAGCGTCTTCACAGCTGCTTTACAGACTGCTGCATCTGTAACGTCGCTTCAGTGAGTGAAGCTGACCGATCCTCTGTTTTCTTCTTCTTTAGCTGTGGAAGAGACTGGAGGGGATTCATGGAAGTACAGTCTGAGGGTGAGTGACCGACACGCTTTCCAACACACGCTCTCCGACACGTTCTCTGACAGGTTCTCCAACACATGCTTTCCAACACACGCTCTCCGACACGTTCTCTGACAGGTTCTCCAACACATGCTTTCCAACACACACTCCAACATATACTCTCCAAAACGTTCTCCAGCACATGCTGTTTAACACGCTCTCCAGCACACCCTCTAACATATTCTCCAGTACGTTCTCCAGCATGCTCCCCAGCAGGCTCTTAAACATGATTCTCTCCATCACGGTCACCACCACACTCACAGTCAGGTTCTCTAACAGGTTCTCTGACAGGCTCTCCAACACTCTCTCTACTATTTACAGATTCTCTCCAGCACGTTCTCCAGCGTTTGCGTGTTCCCCTCCGGCGGGGTTTTGAAGAATCTTCTCTGTTTGCAGCTGATTTGTTCTGGTGGTATCTTCTCGCCGCAGTCCGTCTCACCGTCTCCAGCCGTGACGCCATGATTCTCCGCGCAGGTTATTCAGAAACAGCGTTTGTTTATCTTCTGTTTGGAGTGCAGGGAGAGCGCAGAGTCTCACGGAGACCGTTTGAAGCTTTTCTTCTCGTTCAGACAGAAAAACTCCTCGGAGTAGATAGGAACCTGTCCATCACTCTCAGCCTTCACCGCTCATCTCCGTCCAGCTGAAGGTCAGGAAATGCAAAGTCGGGCAGTTTAAAGAGCGCCGCCTCACTCATTTACACCAGTGTGGAGTCAAAGATACGACTGTAGATTTATTAGCGTGATATCAGTGAGCAAAATGATTTACTGCTGTTTAATTAACATATACTGAAATATTTATACCACGCACAATCTCAGCTCATCATTAGTGCAACACTTACTGCGTTGCTTGGCAACCTGCTGTTAACAAACCATGCCGCTGGGTGCAGGAAGTGTTTTTGCAGATATTATGATTAAAAATTGATGTTTTGAATATGTTCGTTCATATTGTGCTTTGTGGTCATTTTAGGCAAGAACCTGTTAGAATTTACGAGTTTCTTCGTGTCTGAGGTTCGTTGCAATAAATCACCAATAACTTTACAAAGCCAACTGAACGTTATTCGTTTTATTATTATACACCTTTTTTAGTATCACAGTTTTTGAGCTAGAACCACTAAACGTTGTAGGATTGTAGAGCCGGTATGAGAACAGTGCACTTGTGCTTTTGGGACCAATTGCACATACAGTTCATTCAATCATGTCTCGACCCAAACGACCAAACGAAAATGAGTAGCGGACCTTTATGGAGCTGCTTTGTGCTCTGGGGCTCAGTCATGCTGGAACAGGAAAGGTTCTTCACCAAACTGTGCCACAAAGTTGGAAGTGTACGATTGTCCAAAATGTCTTGGTGCTGAAGTATTAAGATTTCCCTTCACTGGAACTAAGGGTTCTAGATCAACCCCTGAAGAACAGCCCCATATCATCATCCCTCCTCCACCAAACTCTACAGCTGCACAGTGCAGTCAGGCAGGTAACGTTCTCCTGGCATTCGCCAAACCCAGACTCGTCCATCAGACTGACAGATAGAGAAGCTGATTGGTCACTCCACAGAACACGTTTCCACTGCTCCAGAGTCCAGTGGCGGCGCTTTACTCCACTCCAGCCGACGCTTGGCGTTGCGCATAGTGATCTTAGGCTTGTGAGTAGCTGTTCGGCCATGGAAACTCATTTCGTGAAGCTCCTGATGGACAGTTCTTTTGCTGATGTTGCTTCCAGAGTCAGTTTGAAACTCTTCAGTGCTGTTCGGCACTCGGCGGCCCCACCCAGTTTGAGTTGTCTGTCGCTTCGTGGCTGAGCTGTTGTTGCTCTGAGGTCCATTTCACAATAACAGCACTTACTGGGAGAGGTTTCATCCTCCGTCAGTGTTGTGTCACTGAGCTCTTGAGTGTGTATATTTATGTATGTTTATATATATGTATATATACAGACACACAAACACACGTATTTCAGGCAAAAATGGTGAAGCTGTTCAGTTCCTCTGTGAGCTTTTAATTACTGAACAGAGGCTTAAATTGAAATCATTTTGAAGGAATTCTGCAGTGAAGAGTCCGATTCCTCTCTGAGTGACAAGATGAGGAGTCAGATTTACACACCGGCCTCTAAACGTCTGAGACCACTTTGAACATCAGGGATTTTATTCATTTAAACCTGGAAATACGTTCTAGACTTTGGGGGACGTCAGAGGGAGCAGAGAGACCTGAGCCGGAGTGGCGGTGCTGAGGGTTCTGCTCTGGTTCTGGGTCTCTGTGAGGTTCACAGTCACTTCCTACAGCAGATCTGCTGAACATCACAATCAGCGATGCAGATCACACTCTGCCCACTCACCTGCAGTCGACACTGTCCCATTAGCGGTCACTCCTCTCCTGCCCCGATAACTGACCTCATTGATTTTTCCCTTGTGGTATTGATTATGTCAGGAGCACCGTTGTTGTCAGTGATGTATTGAGCTCCATGGCCGGATCTGTAAAGCTAATCCGACCTCTGAGTGACCCCTGCCCTGCTGTCCACTGCTCCATTAACACTGACCCACGCTCAGGCCTCACAGACACTTCACCCATTAGTGGGTATTACTGCGGGCAAGTGATGGAGAACCGCTTAGAACGTCTTTCTGTTCTCTCGTATGTGAGTAAATGAGCTCTACAGTGTTGATTTAACTTTGTCCTTCTTTTCTCCTCTTTTCCCCTCATTTCTTCTCATTTCTCCCTCCTTCCTCCCCTGTTCTCCCTCTCTGTCCTGTTGGATGTCCAGCCGTGTACGGAGGTGCTGTTCCTGGACATTTTCCACAGTTACAGTCAGACTCTGACTCCAGTGCTGCTAGAGATGATGCAGAACCTGCAAGGTGAGATGTTTACATTCAGACTAATGACGTATTCACGGTTTACTGCTGCACAACGTTCCTGATACGCTGTGTCATTTTTAGGGCTGGGACAGATTATCAGTTTATCAGTAATAGGGGTGGGAATCTCTGGGCACCTCTCGATTTGATTTGATTACTATTCAGAGGCTGCGATGCGATTATAAAACGATTATCGATGCATCTTTTGTTATATACGATTTCTTTTTTCTCACTGTGAGGACTCAAAGTATCTGTAATGATCCAAAATGAATTTACTTCCAATATCTTTTATTAATAAAGCAAATGGAAGTGATGTGGCAAGTGAACTGGAAGACTGTCATTCACGGCTCTTGTTTGGAGCACATGAGACGCTGCCGCCACTCATCTGTGATAAAATGCACTGTTACAGTGAAATAAGATCCAGTGGTGATGAGTGTCCACTCAGCACGTTACAGCTATTCTACCCGCTTATTCAGTGATTCTATAACTTCGGGTTTGGTCTCGTTGTTGGGGTAAAATATCTTCGAGACTGGACGCTGTATCTCAGCTCCCAAGTTCCAAAGTGTGCAACAAAGCGCGGAAGCCCTGGTTCTCAACGACTGAGAACTGGCCTGCAGACTGCAGGTCACATAGCAGTGCAGTCTCGCCTGGCTAGTAGCCACGAAAACGCAAAGAGAGATTTAAGATGGACTTATTCTCATTTATAAGCACTGCAGTTGGTTTCCTGGTTCGTTAAATCTGAAATGAGAGACTGTTAAACACTAAAAAGTTGTGAAGATGAAGTCAGCTTCTCTTTATAATTTTCCCATTCCACCTTAAATGGTGCCGCATTTACATTCTGGCGCCTCAGTCAGAATTTAAGGTGGAACGGGAAAATTCGAACAAGAAGCTGGGGAATAAGAAGCGACTTCAGCCTCGTAAAACACTCAAACATTGAGAGACATTTTACAGGAAACCGTTCTACGTTTAAGGGAAAGTTTCCTGCCGGAGATGAGAGGAAAGTGGCCACAGCTGAGCTGAGGATTAAAGCAGAACAAAGTTCATCTGCGTTTTCGTTTGTATTTTTTAGCCTTTACTACGACATCATCACCCACCGAGACATGTTTACAGCCAAGATGGTAAAACATTACTTATTAACTAATTAAATGGACATTAAATGTTGTGGCTCCCAAGCTGGTCTGATTTTTGTTGACAGGTCAAAATGGCTCTTCTTATCATTTGTGTTGTGACTCCTGACCTGACCTGGCTTTAATGCAGAGGAGCCGGTCGGATTTCTCACTCATCCAGTGGTGTTTTTGTTATGTGGCGCCACAGACTGTCCGGGCGCTGTACTTACCCACTTCCAAGTTCCGCCTTTTGCATTTCGTCAACATTACGTTGTAAATTAAAATTTAGAAAATGTTACATTTGTGAATCGATTCAGAATCAGAATAGATTTTCCCCCCAAAGTCCACGACGTCAATAAATAGAACTTATTTTTCATGTTGTGTTCACGATTAAGAACAGTGTCACTCCACAGCCTACAGCAGTACTCAGTACACAGCATGGAGCCACACACAATGGTGCACCTACTAAAACACACACACACTCACACACTCACACACACCAACACACTCTCACACTCACACACTCTCACACTCACACACTCTCACACTCTCACACTCACACACACACACACTCACACACACACTCTCACACACTCGCACACACACACACACACACACACTCTCACGCACACACACACCCACACTCTCACACACACACACACACACACTCACACGCGCACACACACACACACACACACACACACACACACACACTCACACGCACACACACATGCACGCACACACACGCACACACACTCACACACACACTCTCACACACGCACACACTCTCACACACGCACACACTGACACACTCACACACACTCACGCACACACACACACACGCACACACACATACAAACACATACACACACACACACACTCACACACTCACACACACTCACATGCACACACACGCACACACACACACACACACTCACACACACACTCTCACACACGCACACACTGACACACTCACACGCACACGCACACACACACACTCACACGCACGCACACACACACACACACACTCACACACACACTCTCACACACGCACACACTGACACACTCACACACACACACTCACACACACACACACGCACACACACACTCACACACACACTCTCACACACGCACACACTGACACACTCACACACACACACTCACACACACACTCTCACACACACACACTCTCACACACGCACACACTCTCACACACACACTCTCACACACGCACACACACACTCACACGCACACACACGCACACACACACTCACGCACACACTCTCACACACGCACACACTGACACACTCACACGCGCACACACACATACAAACACATACACACACAGTCTCACCCTCACACACACTCACACACACACACACAGAGACACACACACAAACACATACACTTGCACACACTCACGCACTGAAACCTTCACGTGGAGTCCAACATAAAAAGTGACAGTTATTATTTTTAACCAGTGCTTTGGCGCCCTCTCTGGTGCAAATGGAAACTGACACCAGATATGCACAGTAATTAACAGTAAAATACTTGTGATCTTTAGTAATGAAAGGCTCAGAATTTATCATTGTATTAATTTATATATTATTATATATATTTATATATTATTTTTAATTGCTTAAAGTCCCAGTCTTATAAGTTTTGAAATGCAGTATGATACACATTGGATACAAAAGTAAAAAAAAAATATAGCAACATTTATTTTACGATAATTATTAAATTAAATAGTGCAACATTAAATAGTGAGTAGAGTTTGTTTGCTGGTGAGTTTTGACTCCTTTAGGAATATCATGGCGTTTTTAATAGAGCAGTTCAGTTATTGACGATTGTCTGAGATCAGTGTGTTTTAAAGTGTAAAATGAAACTGTGTTTGATTCACAGTGTGTGTTGTGACTCAGCTGCTGTATTAAATAAGGAATATCGTAACGGTGCTGTAGCGTCTGGAGCTGCAGAAGCTGGTGTTTAGTGTGAATTTTTGGAGTTTCTTTAAAAGCTGGAAATAAAAGCGTTTTCTTTCCTGAAGGTCAGTCAGTCTGAGTTTCTACAGTTTCTGCATCTTTAATCTCGCTGAGTCACAGCAGCGGCTCTGAGACTGAACTGCTGAATGTTCTGATATATTACAGTGCAGAAGGAGCTCAACTCTCATCACTGTAACGTATTATTATTATTTTAATGTTTAATGTACAAAAATAAGAGGTTAAAGGACCCACATCAAACCACACTTCCTCCCATTTTTTTGGAATCCAAGTGTTTGATGTATGTAAACATTTTAAAGTTCCAAAACGTACCATTCACTCTTCACTACATACAATCAATATAGCTAAACTAAACTAAACTGCACATTCAGCTACAGCAGTTTAGCTCCACCATTCAGTCTACAGCAGTTTAGCTCCACCATTCAGCTACAGCAGTTTAGCTCCACCATTCAGCTACAGCAGTTTAGCTCCACCATTCAGCTACAGCAGTTTAGCTCCACCATTCAGTCTACAGCAGTTTAGCTCCACCATTCAGTCTACAGCAGTTTAGCTCCACCATTCAGCTACAGCAGTTTAGCCCCACCATTCAGTCTACAGCAGTTTAGCTCCACCATTCAGTCTACAGCAGTTTAGCTCCACCCATTCAGTCTACAGCAGTTTAGCTCCACCATTCAGTCTACAGCAGTTTAGCTCCACCATTCAGTCTACAGCAGTTTAGCTCCACCATTCAGTCTACAGCAGTTTAGCTCCACCCATTCAGCCTACAGCAGTTTAGCTCCACCATTCAGCTACAGCAGTTTAGCTCCACCATTCAGTCTACAGCAGTTTAGCTCCACCATTCAGCTACAGCAGTTTAGCTCCACCATTCAGTCTACAGCAGTTTAGCTCCACCATTCAGTCTACAGCAGTTTAGCTCCACCCATTCAGCCTACAGCAGTTTAGCTCCACCATTCAGTCTACAGCAGTTTAGCCCCACCATTCAGTCTACAGCAGTTTAGCCCCACCATTCAGTCTACAGCAGTTTAGCTCCACCCATTCAGCCTACAGCAGTTTAGCTCCACCATTCAGCTACAGCAGTTTAGCCCCACCGTTCAGCTACAGCAGTTTAGCTCCACCGTTCAGCTACAGCAGTTTAGCCCCACCGTTCAGCTACAGCAGTTTAGCTCCACCATTCAGCTACAGCAGTTTAGCTCCACCATTCAGCTACAGCAGTTTAGCTCCACCATTCAGCTACAGCAGTTTAGCTCCACCCATTCAGCTACAGCAGTTTAGCCCCACCGTTCAGCTACAGCAGTTTAGCTCCACCATTCAGCTACAGCAGTTTAGCTCCACCATTCAGCTACAGCAGTTTAGCTCCACCATTCAGCTACAGCAGTTTAGCTCCACCATTCAGCTACAGCAGTTTAGCTCCACCATTCAGTCTACAGCAGTTTAGCCCCACCATTCAGTCTACAGCAGTTTAGCTCCACCATTCAGTCTACAGCAGTTTAGCTCCACCATTCAGTCTACAGCAGTTTAGCTCCACCCATTCAGCTACAGCAGTTTAGCTGCACCATTCAGCTACAGCAGTTTAGCTCCACCATTCAGTCTACAGCAGTTTAGCTCCACCATTCAGTCTACAGCAGTTTAGCTCCACCCATTCAGCTACAGCAGTTTAGCCCCACCATTCAGTCTACAGCAGTTTAGCTCCACCATTCAGTCTACAGCAGTTTAGCCCCACCATTCAGTCTACAGCGGTTTAGCCCCACCATTCAGTCTACAGCGGTTTAGCTCCACCATTCAGTCTACAGCGGTTTAGCTCCACCATTCAGTCTACAGCGGTTTAGCTCCACCATTCAGTCTACAGCGGTTTAGCTCCACCCATTCAGCTACAGCAGTTTAGCTCCACCATTCAGTCTACAGCAGTTTAGCCCCACCATTCAGTCTACAGCAGTTTAGCCCCACCATTCAGTCTACAGCAGTTTAGCCCCACCATTCAGTCTACAGCAGTTTAGCCCCACCATTCAGTCTACAGCAGTTTAGCCCCACCATTCAGTCTACAGCAGTTTAGCCCCACCATTCAGTCTACAGCAGTTTAGCTCCACCATTCAGTCTACAGCAGTTTAGCCCCACCATTCAGTCTACAGCGGTTTAGCCCCACCATTCAGTCTACAGCGGTTTAGCTCCACCATTCAGTCTACAGCGGTTTAGCTCCACCATTCAGTCTACAGCGGTTTAGCCCCACCATTCAGTCTACAGCAGTTTAGCTCCACCATTCAGTCTACAGCAGTTTAGCTCCACCCATTCAGCTACAGCAGTTTAGCTGCACCATTCAGCTACAGCAGTTTAGCTCCACCATTCAGTCTACAGCAGTTTAGCTCCACCATTCAGTCTACAGCAGTTTAGCTCCACCCATTCAGCTACAGCAGTTTAGCCCCACCATTCAGTCTACAGCAGTTTAGCTCCACCATTCAGTCTACAGCAGTTTAGCCCCACCATTCAGTCTACAGCGGTTTAGCCCCACCATTCAGTCTACAGCGGTTTAGCTCCACCATTCAGTCTACAGCGGTTTAGCTCCACCATTCAGTCTACAGCGGTTTAGCTCCACCATTCAGTCTACAGCGGTTTAGCTCCACCATTCAGTCTACAGCGGTTTAGCCCCACCATTCAGTCTACAGCAGTTTAGCCCCACCATTCAGTCTACAGCAGTTTAGCTCCACCATTCAGTCTACAGCAGTTTAGCCCCACCATTCAGTCTACAGCGGTTTAGCTCCACCATTCAGTCTACAGCGGTTTAGCTCCACCATTCAGTCTACAGCGGTTTAGCCCCACCATTCAGTCTACAGCGGTTTAGCTCCACCATTCAGTCTACAGCGGTTTAGCTCCACCATTCAGTCTACAGCGGTTTAGCTCCACCATTCAGTCTACAGCAGTTTAGCTCCACCATTCAGTCTACAGCAGTTTAGCTCCACCATTCAGTCTACAGCAGTTTAGCTCCACCATTCAGTCTACAGCAGTTTAGCTCCACCATTCAGCTACAGCAGTTTAGCTCCACCATTCAGCTACAGCAGTTTAGCTCCACCATTCAGTCTACAGCAGTTTAGCCCCACCATTCAGTCTACAGCAGTTTAGCCCCACCATTCAGCCTACAGCAGTTTAGCTCCACCATTCAGTCTACAGCAGTTTAGCTCCACCATTCAGTCTACAGCAGTTTAGCTCCACCCATTCAGCTACAGCAGTTTAGCTCCACCCATTCAGTCTACAGCAGTTTAGCTCCACCATTCAGTCTACAGCAGTTTAGCTCCACCATTCAGTCTACAGCAGTTTAGCTCCACCATTCAGTCTACAGCAGTTTAGCTCCACCATTCAGCTACAGCAGTTTAGCCCCACCATTCAGCTACAGCAGTTTAGCCCCACCATTCAGCTACAGCAGTTTAGCCCCACCATTCAGTCTACAGCAGTTTAGCCCCACCATTCAGTCTACAGCAGTTTAGCTCCACCATTCAGCTACAGCAGTTTAGCTCCACCATTCAGTCTACAGCAGTTTAGCTCCACCATTCAGTCTACAGCAGTTTAGCTCCACCATTCAGTCTACAGCAGTTTAGCTCCACCATTCAGTCTACAGCAGTTTAGCTCCACCATTCAGTCTACAGCAGTTTAGCTCCACCATTCAGTCTACAGCAGTTTAGCTCCACCATTCAGTCTACAGCAGTTTAGCTCCACCATTCAGTCTACAGCAGTTTAGCTCCACCATTCAGTCTACAGCAGTTTAGCTCCACCATTCAGTCTACAGCAGTTTAGCTCCACCGTTCGTCTACAGCAGTTTAGCCCCACCATTCAGTCTACAGCAGTTTAGCTCCACCATTCAGTCTACAGCAGTTTAGCTCCACCATTCAGCTACAGCGGTTTAGCCCCACCATTCAGTCTACAGCGGTTTAGCTCCACCATTCAGTCTACAGCGGTTTAGCTCCACCATTCAGTCTACAGCAGTTTAGCCCCACCATTCAGTCTACAGCAGTTTAGCCCCACCATTCAGTCTACAGCAGTTTAGCTCCACCATTCAGTCTACAGCAGTTTAGCTCCACCATTCAGCTACAGCAGTTTAGCTCCACCGTTCGTCTACAGCAGTTTAGCTCCACCGTTCGTCTACAGCAGTTTAGCTCCACCATTCAGTCTACAGCAGTTTAGCTCCACCATTCAGCTACAGCGGTTTAGCTCCACCATTCAGTCTACAGCGGTTTAGCTCCACCATTCAGTCTACAGCAGTTTAGCTCCACCATTCAGTCTACAGCAGTTTAGCCCCACCATTCAGTCTACAGCAGTTTAGCTCCACCATTCAGCTACAGCAGTTTAGCTCCACCGTTCGTCTACAGCAGTTTAGCCCCACCATTCAGTCTACAGCGGGACGTCTGCGAGACGAATATGGGCTTAATTAGACTAAACACATTTATAATCCAGTACATTCTTAAAAAATGGTTCTTCAAGGGTTCTTTAGTAAAGACAGTGGTTTATACAGAACCATGAATTCTCAAAGAACCACTTGCATGATTCTCTCACATGGTTCTCTGCATGGTGAAATGGTTCTTCAGACTGATGTAAAATGTGCTGTATATGGTTCCATATAGAATCATTAACGGTTCTGCTGTTGTTACGTTGTCAAGCTTGTAAACAGATTCAGAAATGAAGTGGAATGTGAATGGAGGAGCTGAGGGAGGAGATTATTAGATTTCTGTTCTGAGTGGACGGTCAGGTCTGGACTTCTGGCAGCTTTTGTTTGGTTTTGACATGAAATCATTTCTTTCTCTCTCTCTCTCTCTCTCTCTCTCTCTCTCTCTCTCTCTCTCTCTCTTTCTTTCTCTCGCCTCCTCTCAGGACCCAGTAATGTGGATGATACGCTGCAGCTGCTGATGAAGGATGCAGGTGCTTCTAAACTTTTTATTTATAGTTATTAAAACTTCCACATTAGAACAGATAAATATTGTTTACTCTCACAGTGTTGAACTGCAAACCAAAAGTCAGTTTAAGTTCTGCTTAACAAAAGCAAATTACTGCTTACACAGTCCTGTGCAGAAGCCAGAGAGCACCTGTCATTTATTAAATAAAAAAAAACACCCATTAATCATAAGTTATTGATTGTTCGGGATATTTGTTAGTTTAAATATAAGATAATTCACTTCCACAATGAAGGAGAAAGTCAAAAACAAGTTTCCAAAAACTGGAGTTCAAAAACTGAATAAAAGCTCAGGAGAAAATGTGTCTCCTAACAACCACCTGGAAGAGCTGGTCGACCCCAAAACTGCCCCCATCAGATAAACAGCACTTAAAGCTTTCATCTCTGAGAGAGAGGAGAAAATCAAGCTGATCAGATCTGAAAACATCCACAGGTGTTTCTGTCCATCCTTCCACTGTGAGAAGACGACTCAGCGCTGTGGGTCTGAAAGGATGTGTAGCTGATCAAGAAGAACCTCACTGAGAAAAGGAGACGGACACATCAAACAAAGAAGCTGAACGATGGACTGACCACCCCAGAGTCCAGACCTCAACACCACTGAATGTGTTTGATTACTTCAGAAAATAGAAATGAAATAAATGGGGGTCTCTGACTTTTGCGCAGTACAGTGTAAAGATGCATTATAGATAATATTTCACCTGATATTTGAACACAGAGTAAGCCTTAATGTGGGGTGACTCTATCAGCGTCAGTGGAGCTCTGTTTCTGCAGCTCCCTCTGTTCTGTGGTTCCTCCGTCTCTGTATTTCTCTTCGTTTGTCTGTGGAGTCAGAGCTCCAGCTGTTCGATCATAATTATGTAGCGTTTTGATATTAAATGTTTTTCTGTGTTGTTTCTCTCTGTAGTGTATAACGCTGTGGGTTTAGCAGCGTACGAGCTGTTCGACAGCGTCGACTTCGACCAGTGGTTCAACAACCAGCTACTGGGCGAGCTACAGGTCAATCACAACAGGTACACTCATTTACTCCCAAACAGATTTACTCCGAAACAGATTTACTCCGAAATGCAACAGATTTACTCCGAAACGCAACAGGTAGACTCCGAAACGCAACAGATTTACTCCGAAATGCAACAGATTTACTCCGAAACGCAACAGGTAGACTCCGAAACGCAACAGATTTACTCCGAAATGCAACAGATTTACTCCGAAACGCAACAGGTAGACTCCGAAACGCAACAGATTTACTCCGAAATGCAACAGATTTACTCCGAAACGCAACAGGTAGACTCCGAAACGCAACAGATTTACTCCGAAATGCAACAGATTTACTCCAAAACACAACAAGTACACTCCGAAACGCAACAGGTAGACTCTGAAACGCAACAAGTAGACTCCGAAACGCAACAGGTACACTCCGAAATGCAACAGATTTACTCCAAAACACAACAAGTAGACTCTGAAACACAACAGGTACACTCCGAAATGCAACAGATTTACTCCGAAACGCAACAGGTACACTCCGAAACGCAACAGATTTACTCCGAAACACAGCAGGTACACTCCGAAACGCAACCGGTAGACTCCAAAACGCAACAAGTAGACTCCGAAACGCAACAGGTACACTCCGAAATGCAACAGATTTACTCCGAAATGCAACAGGTACACTCCGAAACGCAACAGGTAGATTCTGAAACGCAACAGGTAGACTCCGAAACGCAGCAGATGTACTTCGAAACGCAACAGATTTACTTCGAAACGCAACAGGTATACTCCGAAACGCAATAGGTTTACTACAAAACACAAAAGGTCCACTCTGAAACACAACAGATTTACTCTAAAATGCAACAGATTTACTCCGAAACGCAACAGGTAGACTCTGAAACGCAACAGGTAGACTCTGAAATGCAACAGGTAGACTCCGAAATGCAACAGGTAGACTCCGAAATGCAACAGGTAGACTCTGAAACGCAACAGGTAAACTCCGAAATGCAACAGATTTACTCCGAAACGCAACCGGTACACTCCGAAACGAAACAGGTAGATTCTGAAACGCAACAGGTACACTCCGAAATGCAGTAGGTTTACTACAAAACACAAAAGGTCCACTCTGAAACACAACAGATGTAAAGGTAAGTGTAAATGTGCCATTAGCTACAGCGCCTCCTAGTGTACAGTAGCTGCAGCTGTTGAAATATGAAGCCCTCCCTGGCTTTGAGGAAACGGATTGAGGAACTGCGTCATTACAGAACCTCACTGATCTTCTCTCTGATGCTGAATGTATTCAGTTATTTTTCCTGGTTGTTTTTATCATCCAGGCCGGTTTTACAGTTACAGAATGATTTCAGTAAAGGTGGATCTGAGCGAGACTCGGCCGCAGGTTTGCGGAGGGACTGACGGTATTAAAGTTCTAAAACTGTTTGCGGAGCTTTGATGTTTGAGGGCAGGAAGTGAGGTCACACAGGTGTGCTGAAGTGTGTTTTTCAGGAGTCACTCTGCTGCAGATCAAAGCTGGAGGCTTTTTCTCTGAAGCGTTTCTGCTGCGCTTTATCAAACAGAATTCCGGATGAACTCGGCACCTTCGCTCTCTGTGCTGTGTTTTCTGGAAGGCAGGAACGAGCGGCGGCGACGTCAGCGGCGGGTTCGGCTTTTACGGCCGAGGTTTGGGTTTGTGTTGTGAGGATTTCTGAGGAGAATCATATCAGATATAATAAGAAAAGAGCCGATATCTCTCTCCACCGAACGTGTGGAAGAAAGGAGCAGAGGCGTATCAGGACTCAGATCAGATCCTGCGATCGCAGCGCGAGGATTATCTCCTCTCTGCAGATCAGTGACATTTAAAAGCCGACCGCAGCGCCGCGATAGGGGCGGCGCGGTCAGCGTGTCCGATGGCAGATACGCTGTTCAGTTTAGCAGAACTCGGCCAGCGTACGGCTCTGACTCTCTGTATTAATGTGGGTTTAGTGATGGAGAACCATCCAGATGTGTTTAGTCCAGTCTAGCTGTTTGGAACTTCACTAGCACACCTTTACAGGTGACATTCAGACTCACAGCTCTGAAACCAGGGCTCGAACTACTGACCGCTTCATACAATCGGTCATATATTGACAATTTATTCTTAAATATTAAATATTTCCATCTGTTGGTTTTTGCTTCACTCAGCAGGTATTGACCCTTATTCATCAAAGTTGCTGAAAACAGAGCGTAAATCTGAGGTACGAACTGCTCTGCGTCTCATTCACGAAACCGTCCTGAGACGTGGAAACGAGTAAATGATGAATCAGCTTCTGTGCGTGAAATCAAGCGCCGGCCTACCAGCACCTCATTTACATATCATTTACATTAAGCACTCCTTAATTCATGCAGATATTTCGTTAAGGAGCCAATAAAATGACAGCACTAGCTGTGTTTATTTGTGGGCGGAGTCAGTAGTGTAAACAAACGCACAGTGTAACGTGTCTTTAAATGGACGGAACAGCTGCAGCGTTTGTTTATATCAGTGTGTGTAAAATAAGCACATCCACTTCTGCACTGCACATCGTTAGCATTATCGATGTGATCTATGATTATTCTTATTACTGGTTTCCTGTATTATATTAATAATAGTTTTGGTTAGTTAACCACAAATCAGGCATTTTGTTAGCGTTGTGAAATGTTTACACCCAAAATTACGCCAGACGAGAGTTTGATCATACAGATACGCCACCAATAAAACTGATCAATATAGAACCGTGAGTGAAATTTGTGCTTATTTTCCAGATTTGACCATATGCAGCTGCATCTGATGGTCCATCGTAATCTGATAATAACGATGGACGCTGCACACGGACTGTAATTCAGCTCCAGCTAATTCAGCTGTTACTCTAATTTAGAGCGATAGAATCCTGTGTGGATTCATTCAGGACTCATTCAGCTCAGAACAGTTCAGATATTAATGGATTTATTAAACTGATTCACTGAGAACACGAAGTTAACCTCTCAGCACTTCACGCACAGTAACTTCACTCACATTCCACTGCTGTCATAATAAGAGTCCCTTATGTCTTAATTTAATTTAATAGAGCACTAATTACTAAACACTGTTTGTTTACACTCTTACTACTACTAGTACAAATAATAATAATAATAATAATAATAATAATAATAATCATTATTAGTAATTATTTCCAGTTTCCATTTCTACTCGTTGCTGTACAGGTTTATCAGTTACTGAACTCTGGGTGTTGTTGTTGGTTCCAGGCTCTGTAGTTGGATGTTGTTCTGTGTTATGATCTATGTAGGTGTTCAGTGATCTGGAGGTGCTAATAATACATCATTCACTCATATCACTGTGGAAATGATCACAGTAACAATTACATTTCATCACATCACTCAGTTTTAATCATGATCACCAAATGTTTAAATCAGTAGAGCTGCTGCAGCGCTGAGATCATATCAGTGTTTATATTGTGAGTTAGAGATTAATACACTGTGAACTCATTGATGTGCAAATAAATTTACATATTTCTTGATGTAATATGTTATCTAGAATTTATAGATGAATGAGTTACCTTCAAGCTAAAATCTCTCTCTCTCTCTCTCTCTCTCTCTCTCTCTCTCTCTCTCTCTCTCTTTCTCTCTCTCTCTCTCTGTCTCTCTCTCTCTCTCTCTCTCTCTCTCTCTCTCTGTCCCCCCTCTCTCTCTCTCTCTCTCTCTCTCTCGCTTTCTCTCCCCCTCTCCCCCCCCTCTCTCTCCCTCTCTCCCTCAGTGTAACATCATTATTTAATCAGTCAGGCTGGGCTGTAGGTTAATGACTCTCAGACTGCAGGACGGCTCAGTTTATTGATTGTGACTCTGAGCTCTACAGGCTGATCTGATACTCCGATTCTGATCACTACAGCTTTCGTTCTTTTTACCCATCAGTTCATGCAGTTTCAGTTTCAGTACATTATTTATTTCACTGTATTTCTGGTTTATAAGAAGCAGAAGAGTAAAAGTACAGTAATTCTCAGTTTTGTCAGCAGATAAAGTTACAGTTCACACCAGCGTCCACACATACAGCCCTAAGCCTAAACTGCAGTATATTGAATGACTGAGCGGGCGGGGCTAAACGGCTGTATACTGAATGACTGAGCGGGCGGGGCTAAACGGCTGTATACTGAATGGCTGAATGGGCGGGGCTGAAAGGCTGATCCCTTTAATATGTTGTTTGTGGTGTTTAGTGTTCTGTTGCACAGCATTGTACCCACTCCCCTAATTTTATGCAGATTAGCTCAGTGTGATGTGTTCACCCAATCAGGATGCAGGTGGTATCAGTGTTATTCGTGTCTGCAGCTCAATGTATAAAACACTGGTTTTGCTTTTTAAGTGTTTCTGCACGACGTTGAAGACCACCAGCACACTCATACACTGAAATGACTGATCATGACGGTCAGCGTTAATCAGCGACCTGAATACAAATTTATCTAAGATTCTGTTAAACTGAAGAGGCTTTTTCACATTTACTTTCTGATTATCGACCTCTGAATTTATTCATTCCCCCATAATTCATTGTGTGAGATGTAAACAGAGTGATTCAGAGTGGTTTGGTGTGAAATGGTTCAGATGTCTTTACAGTGGTGGTGATAGGAACCAGGGGTCGCCATGACTACAACACAGATATAGACATTTTATTTACTATCCAGAACCACCAGTGAACCTACACGAGTCTTCTGAGTTCATATGGAATGTTGATGATGGAAAATGGTGGAAAATCTGAAATAATAAGTTTTCTTTGGGGACTATTTTGCCTCACAGCGCCCTGCATGTATCCCTCCACCATGAATGGAGTTTAAGTTCTCTAAACTATCATAAAACAGTGTCTCAGTCATCAGGCAGTGAATTCAGAACCATTTCATGTAGGAACTTTCTGTGAGGAGCTTTTAGAGGTGGACGTCTGGTTCCTATCACCACCACTGTGAACAGTTCTGACGCAGTGAGTTTATCTGGAATGGAGCGTTTCCTGCTGGTGTGACCGTACAGAGCTGTTTCTGCAGTTCTTCTCCTCCATCCATCACTCCAGCCTGACTGCGCTGACTGCCAGCCTGCTGTCTGAGCAGGCAGGTCCTCCAGGGGGCGCAGCTGGACAGGAGCTGATAACAGTAGGATTGATGAGCTGCAGTGGACACTTGCTGGTCTATCGCTCCATCATGCTCTCTCCTGCTCCCTCTCTGCTGCTCTGAGGACGCTTTGTGTTGATTAAAGCGATGGTTTTACGCTGTCTCAGAATCCTGTACAGCACAACCAGGACAGAGCGTAAATAAGTGAACACGTCCTCTACAGACACACTGCTGCACATTTCGACACACGGTTGCTGCCTTTTTACTGAACATAGAAAGAATGAAACATAAAATGTGGCCCTGCACAAAAAACAGATTACTGACAGTTCTGGTATTTGGGTCATTCTACAGAAACGTCCACTGTTCTGTCTCTCCATAGGAGTCACTGGTGTTACTGATCCTCATTGGTGTTCCACATAATAAAGGAACACCAGAGACATTTTAATGAACAATGCATTTTACAGAACGGCTGCTACAGAACATGAGCTTTTCTTCATAGATCCTCAGAAAACAGGTAGAAGGAAGTCAAGTGATGTCATCAGTGGGACTTTTATTTTAAAATAAGAGACTTTTGTTACGCGGTAACACCAGTGACACGACTCCTGGGGACAACTTTCATTATATATTTTATAATATTTATTTGCCATTTGTTTCTTTATGTCATTTAATTCATATATTCCATAGTCATGTATAGATTATTGTAGTTAAAATTGCAGAAAAACATATTTTTTACCTCAAAATATGGCCTCAGCCTTCACACATGACTGTGGGGACGAGCTCTTCTGTGGTGTTTGGAATTCTATATGATTGATTTAAAAACCAATATTGCTAAATTGAGGCTCAAGAAGGTGTGATTGTTAAAACAACTTTTTATTTTAAAATATAAATAAATTGTAATCCTAACATGTTTTTCAAGTATAATACATCTGTAAACGCTGTGGACACAGAAATGGACATTTCTGTAGAATAACCCATTTATTACTGTATAATAATAAAACCATTCTGAATGTTCAGTGAAGCTGTTTTTGTAGGTAAACAGTGGCGTATTAATCTGGATGTCCTTCACTTTTAAAAAGAACCATATTTAACAACTGAAGTGAATCTAAAAGATGTTAAACTATGTACAGTAGAATGTCATGTTTAGCTGTGTCTCTGTGGAGGAGGTGTTCTACTCATTTACTCTATTTACTCTAGAAAATCAACAACAACATGCAGGCGTTCAGATCTTTACGCGAGCGACTGTGTGTTGATACAGCCCAGCTGATTAATATCAAACGAATTATTTCACAGATCTTCCTTTTGTCTCTTAAGTCTCTTTATGTATTTTATATAATATTTATACAGCAGTGAGTTTCAGCCATGTGAGCTGATTGGTTGAGAGGCGTTCTAACTGTGCTGTTATTTCACCATCACATCACAGGTTTTCACAAACACTGTATCACTCCGCTGAGACGCCGTTGCTAAGCAACGACTCTGACAGCTGGAGACGCTCAAGACATTTGAACGTTTTTACTTCTTACTTTGCCACAAACAGAAAATGGACACTTTTAAGATCGCATTTGACCGACAGCCGATTTGGTCAGACTCTGACGATGAGACGACACTAAATTCCCAAACTGTCATCACCACTGAGCAGCTTTTCAGTCGGCAGCTGAGACAGAAGAACAGCTGAACAACCTGGAATCAGCCAGAAATGAACCCAACACCATTCGCCAAACTAAATGGGCTGTAAGATGCTTTACAGACTGGCTGGAACAAAACAACATTAATACTGATCTGGCAAAAACTGACAAAACTGAGCTAAACTTGATATTGTGGCAGTTTTATGGCTCAGTCCGAACTTCAAAAGGCGAGGCTTACAGCAGGCTGAGCAGCGAGTGGGCGCAGCTCGTTACTCTGACGTAGCAACAAGCTGCTCGTTAAGGAACTATAATTTGGTGAAGGAGCTGCGAACATTAAAACATATTAAACGCCGCGTTCACGGCCCAGTTTATTAATTTCTTACTTTATTTATTTAACTGTTGTATTAAAGCAATAGAACACAGAGGGAGTGTGTTATCGCCAATAACATCACGGCTGTGATGATCTACGGCGACCAAATCACAGCCGTGATGTTATTTCGCAATAACACACTCCCTCTGGGTTCTACTGCTGAAATATTCAGATATTATCACACACTTATTGCTGTCATTGATACTACATATTTGTATCTGTGTAATTGTTTTTTGTTACAACATCTGTCGATAACTACAGAATTTAATAGATAAATCAGTACAATAGAGATATTAAAAACATCTGCTACTGTAATTTTAGCACAAACAGAAATAAACACAGTCATAATGTAAATAAACTGTGTGTTTGTTTGTGATCAGGTATAAGCTGATCCGGAGGAGGGTCATCTGGCTGATCGGTCAGTGGATCTCAGTCAAATTTAAGCCCGAGTTGCGCCCCCTGCTTTATGAGGTTATACTCACTCTCCTGCAGGACCCTGACCTGGTGGTGAGTAAATCACACAACACAGTGCAGAGTCGGAGACCCCCGGCATCAGTTTCACTTTCAGCCTAAACAGACATTAAATACAAGTTATTCTTTGTACAGGAGACGTTTGTGAGGAGATTAAATATGAAATAATGCACTTATGATGCTTAATGAAAGAGAGAGACAAAGGGAAAAAAACAGGTTTTTTTTTTCAAAACTTGAAGCTAAAAACGGATTGAATGCTGCAGAGAAAATGTGACTGATGTGAGATGTGAATGTCTTTGCAATTTCCTGTTAAATGTGTTTTTTTTTCTGTCCTCTGTGAAAAGGAGCAGCTTTTATATGACCAGAAATTAAATAAATGACAGGGGTCTCTGACTTTTGCACAGCACTGTATAACAAAGCACACACAGTACATTGATTTTAGTGCAATCTATAATCTGTCAAGCCTAAATGATCAAATAAAATTATTAAATATAATAATACAATTAACTAAATGAACTAAGAGAAGCTACAAAAGTATCTAGAACAACTAAAAAGGCAGTTAAAGCAGCGGAACCAAATAAAACTGTCCAGCGTAGATAATCAGCTGAAAGAATTATGCTGAACAATGAAACAGTAAAATAAAAGTTTGTGTTAAATGAAGGAAGAGCTCCGATTCTCTGCTGAGAGTCCTCAGTCACTGACCTGACAGGACGACAGGACTGAATCTCGTCAATGCTCCTGTTTATTGACTGCTTTCTTTATTGATGAACATGTTGACTAATCACTCACTGGCTCAGATCAATACTGCCACCTTCAGTAAGGGCTGCGGAGAGCTCTGATTGGCTGCCTTCTGTCTGAAGATCATTAAAATGTCCTCTGTTGCACAGTTAACATTTACATTTAAATATACATTAACTTTGATATTGACATTTGCTGATTTATCAGACAGAGCAGGTCCTGCTTAAGGCCTTTAATGCCAACATCCAGATTAACTCAATGCAAACTTTTAATAAACACACAAAACTGGATAAAACTGTATTTATCAGGTCGCTCTCAGTCCGTGCAGCTAAAGTCAGTCTTGTTATTACTCAGATCTTGCTCTGTCGGAGTTCCACAGGGCTCCGTTCTAGGAGCCCTTATTAGTAAATGACCTTCCATGTAGTGCTGGGTGTTACAGCAAGAATATCATACATACATACATACATACATACATCCAAACATCATCTAAACCGCTTATCCTTCTGGGTCGCGCCTATCCCAGCTGTCATTGGGCGGAAGGCCGGATACACCCTGGACAGGTCGCCAGTCCATCGCAGGGCAGACAGACAGACATACACATTCACACACACACACTCACACCTAGGGGCAATTTTAGCACATCCAATCAGCCTGACTGCATGTCTTTGGACTGTGGGAGGAAACCCACGCAGACACGGGGAGAACAGGCAAACTCCACACAGAAATGACCCTGGTCACCCGGCCGGGAATCGAACCCAGGCCATTCTTGCTGTGAGGCGACAGTGCTACCCACTGCGCCACCGTGCCGCCTCAAGAATATCATATGATATTTAAAGTTTTCTTCAAGATACAGGTCACAGTATTTTGATACACAAACACGATGCCACATTTAAAAAAAACTGCCACCAAAAACTTTAGAACTAGAAAAGTGCGTTTCCTGAGGAGAGTGCAGAGTGATGCGCAGCTTGGTTTGGTTGCTGTGGTATTTTAAGGTGGTTTCCGGGGTGTTGCTAGGTGGTTGCTGCAGTATCACAGGTGGTTGCTATGGTGCTTAATAGGGTGTTACTAATGGGCTTCTATCATTGTGATATAAGAGGAACAAACTTTTGCAGCCCATAATGCCTGAAGGGAAAATATCACTTAACGAAGATTGTATGAAAACCGCATGTCAGATCAAAAAGCTGTGTACAAGCATTCCAGATCAGACATCAGACATTCTGGAGTTGGAACGATGTTGATATCAGTTTAGCGGAGAAAATTCAGACAGAAAAATAAGAAGATGATACTGTGGGATAACGATAGTGTAAAGCAGTGCACAGGCACTGATGATTTAACTCAATATTGTAAGAACCGCACTGCTCTAAACCACGTTAAACAGGACTAACTACACCGGTCAGCCATAACATTCTGACCACCTTCTTGCTGTGTCTGATCCACTCAGACCAGCACAACACACACTAAGACACCACCACCACGTCAGTGTTACTGCAGTGCTCAGAATGATCCACCACCCAAATAGTACCTGCTCTGTGAGGGTCCATGGGGGTCCTGACCACTGAAGAACAGGGTAAAAGGGGGCTAACAAAGTATCAGAGAAACAGATGGACTACAGTCTGTAACTGTAGAACTACAAAGTGCACCTATATAGTAAGTGGAGCTGATAAAATGGACAATGAGCGTAGAAACAAGGAGGTGGTCAGAATGTTATGCCTGACCGGTGTAAATTCTTATACTAATAAAACATTCAGTTCAGGGTTCTTTAAGTGTCACACGTACGATAAAACATCGCTCTGTTGCCCATGGCTACTTGCGTCATGCGCTAGGGGACATGCTGAAGTGTTTGAGTCATTCTAGTCGAACCTTGAGTTAAAAAAACCAGGAAACATGTATTTCACTAATAAACTAAAGCACAGAGATTATTCTGATACTTTTATAAATGGATCAAAACTTAATAATTAATAAGTAGATGAAATATTTAGGCACTGTTTCAGGGAAAAAGGACTGTTTTAATAAGCAAACAGTGCAGTAGAGGAGTCTGTCTGGGAGAATTCCAGGAGAAGCCGCGTTCTGAATGATCTATAGAGGAGAAATAATGAATAAAGGAATCTCAGCATGAAGGAAGATACAGTAATATAAAGGCTGTTAGCACAGCTAACGATTATTTCTACACTCGATTGATCTGTCTTCTGTTCCTCCCTCTGTTCTGTCAGCAGCGTTCAGAGTTATATTCCTTCTTTTATGGTGCAGCAAAGCATTAGCATAATAGAGCACTTTTTACATGAAACAGTAGAAGCCATATCGCCCCCTACACTTCCTGTAGTGTATTACAGTCTGTCAGAGTGACTGTGTGGATCATATGAACATTATAGAGCTTTTTAAATGAAACAGTAGAAGCCATATCGCCCCCTACACTTCCTGTAGTGTATTACAGTCTGTCAGAGTGACTGTGTGGATCATATGAACATTATAGAGCTTTTTAAATGAAACAGTAGAAGCCATATCGCCCCCTACACTTCCTGTAGTGTATTACAGTCTGTCAGAGTGACTGTGTGGATCATATGAACATTATAGAGCTTTTTAAATGAAACAGTAGAAGCCATATCGCCCCCTACACTTCCTGTAGTGTATTACAGTCTGTCAGAGTGACTGTGTGGATCATATGAACATTATAGAGCTTTTTAAATGAAACAGTAGAAGCCATATCGCCCCCTACACTTCCTGTAGTGTATTACAGTCTGTCAGAGTGACTGTGTGGATCATATGAACATTATAGAGCTTTTTAAATGAAACAGTAGAAGCCATATCGCCCCCTACACTTCCTGTAGTGTATCACAGTCTGTCAGAGTGACTGCGAATGTTATTAGAGCTTTATATATTAAATTATATATTAAATCCTAGAAGCGGAGCAGTCAGGTTTGAGTCCATCAGGATGTTGTGCTCTCCTGGATGCTGTAGTTACAGAATGTCCTTGATTTTTACATCAGCATCTCGGTGAAGCTGGAGTTGTTGATTTTGGAGAACTCGGAACAGCCGGTTCTTCTCCTGATTGGAGAACTGATTGTGAATCCTGTAATATCAGCTTTAGTCCTTTCAGGCTGGTTTCGGTGTGGAGCCGGCAGTGTGTGTAGATCAGTAATGTGGAGCTGAGCTGCTCTACAGATTTCCAACAGTATATCCAGCTGAGAGGGGGCGCTGTTGAGGGAACGGTCAGATTAGTTGATCAATCGAAGAATAGTTGATAGATTCATTGATTGTGAAGATCATTTAGTTGCATGCTCCTGTCCAAAGTGAGGTGTTTCACAAAAGAGCTGGACATGACATGGGATCGATGCAGTGACCTTTAGACACGGTTCATTTAAAGCGATAATTTGGTGAAAATCTGATTTCCCCCAGCCGATGTGGTCGACCAGCCGGCACGTGTTTGGTGTCTTCCGTTCAGTTTCAGCGTTGGAGCTACACGGCTAATCACATTATCTTCTGAACCACTGAAACACTGAAAGACTTTTATTTTGTTGAAGCAGAAGCCTAATCAGATCTTCTCAGACCAGGTTAGCTCAGCGCTGCTGTGCGATTTTATGTGTGTTCTGTATTGTTTTGTTCTGTGTTGTTTGTAGCAACAGATCATCACATACATGTTACAGCGGGTTCTGACTCTGCCTTAAATTGGGTTCTCTTTGGATTGTCCGGCCTGATTCTGTGTGACCTGTCTGGTTCTGTTTGGTCAGTTCATTTGTTTCTGAGATTTTGAGGATTTAGAATTTTTGTAACATTTTCTGTCTTTAATAAACAAATTATATCTGACACTTTAATAAATACAGTTTTAGTCAAGATTCCAGCTTAATATTTGGCATATTTGTTAATTGTTCTTTTTAATAGTGTAAATAATTTTATTGTAGATTT